TCATGCCGCATTCCCGATGGTGCAAAACAAAAAAAACTAAATACCTACTGAGGTTGTGCATCCCATGTTTTTGTGCTGAAAGCCACTCGCACAATCTTGTATATACTTATATAGTTGCAAATTCAGGCAAGCAGCTGTGTGTGTTGTAAGCAATGCCATTTGCTGCAACGGCATCAACGATTTGGTTGTTTTGGGCCACACACCAAAGAGTTTCCGGTGTCGGCCCTCCTGGGCATCATGAGGTTCTGGTTCCAAGCGTGAGAAGTGCCACAGTGCCCAAAAGAGCAAAGGTTGCACGGTGCTTCGGACCAGGAGTTTCTTCAGGAGAAAAGGCGTTAAACCACCCACGATGGCACGAGTGCACCGACCGTCAAACATCCAAGTGTTGGTAAAGGTGCAAATATCCCGGCCAGTGTTCAGAATCTCTTCATCATAGATCTTCCAGTTGAACTTCTTGTACTCTTCCGATCCTTGTTGGCACACTTTCCATGCTAACTTCCAGCCACCAAAACAACTTTCATCTAAGGCGGTCGTGGTAACGAGTGCCAATAGCCAGGCAGAAAACATGCGGAAGGTCATCAGCAATTTGTCTGCTTGGATTCCAGAGAGTCGACTGAATCGGTTCGAAATCGGGACGGCCAGCAGCATATCAATGATCACCGCTTGCAACGGGGCGGTTCCGTGGAAGAACATCAAGGTGTCGTCAGCCAAATCCCACGCATTCTGTGCAGGGATTGACTGAGCACATGTAAAGAAAATCGAAGGCAATGATAAGATGGTCACCACCCAAATCCAAGTGGTCCAAACGCTCATTTTGACCAGCCTCTTCTTCCAACCGAAACCAGTGTTCGGAGCGCCCCTAGTGGGCTTCGGAATCCCTTCGACAAAGCTGCGAAAGAAGAATTGCATGGACGACCAGCACATGACGACACCGAATTCTACCCATGGTCTCCATGGTTTCTCTGCGCTGAAGTTCGCAAGTGTGGTCTGCGACAAAAGCGGGCAGCAATCGTAGTATTTGCCAAAGAAAACAAAGAACATGAGAACTGGACCAGCCAATAGAAATGTGCTGAGAGTTGCTTTTGTCCTGAGAGCGAAGAAAAGTCCCAAATGGCGATAACATGCTTCAAGGGTATATACTTACACGTTCCTTATAGTTCCTGCCTTTTCCCGGGGGCATGTATCATAACGCACGCAAAGCCTTTGTGGCAGAAACTTCGCTCCTCCGCTAATCATAAGCTGATGAAAGTCAGGTGTTGAGCTAGGGACTCGCAAGTCAGCGCATGCAGCGACTCACCAGTGTCGGATGCGTGTAGTCTTAGACTCCAAGGGACGTCACACGGCATACCTTTTCAAAAAACTGGGACGACCTCGCATATCCCATGATAGAATCTTGGTTCATCGCCCCCCCAAATATTGAAGATGTTTTACCATCTAATTAAATGGGCTGGCTTATTCATCAAGAGTCCATAACTCACCAGCCAACCCCGAAGTGGACTAAGCTCACCCCAAGTTTGACCGGGGCCATCCTTATATGCTCTTTGAGGATCTTGTTACTGTTGGACAAAGGGCACTCTCCGTGGAGCTAACATAGAAGTGGAAAACCCATGTTTGTAGAGAAAAATGGTCTTCCAGAAGGCAATTGTCCACTTCCATGTGAGCTCCACGCAGTGTAAACACTTTGGACAACATGGCGCCACGCCACAGTGCCAGGTTTGATGAGACCACACGAGCTCCCGCAGTGAACGTCCTCAAGCGTTTCACCACTGGAAATCTTCTCCATAGCACTGGGCAAATGGCACTGGCAAACGTCACCAGGATCACTAAACCGATCAAGACGAGCAAGTTGGACTTCCAAACATCGGGTGAATAATAGAGGAAGGGTTGCTGTTCTTCGATGCTGATCCAAGGTGAAGTGAGTGGGCTCCCATCTCCAAGCATGTTGCCCATGATCACCAAGCCCGAAATGTCAGCAGAGCCAATGCTGTTTGGAATCTTGCACGAGAAGCGATTCCGATGTAGAGTGAGATTGGCCGAACCTGTGGCAGGACACTGACCCAGTGATTTAGGGCAGTTCTTTCGCACTTGGCTTCTCAGTTCCTGGGAAATCACGTGTGCCAACCGAGCGGCTTCATTGCAGCCATAAGTGTAAAACAACCTGAATTTGGAGTTATCCAAGCACGGTATACTTAAATTAAGATCTCCAATGCTTCCCTGAATAGAATTCTCGTGTAGCGTCAACACTCCAAGATGCCTAAGGCGGTGCATGCTTTTCGGAAGCACCCCTGCAAGAGTATTTCTGTGCAAGGTCAGAACTGCAAGTTCTGTTGCTTGGATTTCGGGCAGAGATCCATAGAAACGATTGTTGTTGAGAGCAAGAAACTTCAATCGAGCAAAGCGCATGAGACATGGTGGCACTTCACCAGTGAACTGATTGTGGCTGAGGCGAAGCTCTTGCAAGACACCTCCAGGGGAGGGATGCCCTAAGGCGCAAAAATAGTCGACAAGCCTGGAAATGCCTCCAGCAAAGTTGTTGCGGCTCAGGTCTAGAACTTGGAGCTTCTCTGTGAAAAGATGCGCCGCAAACGCACCACTGAAATTGTTGCAGCTGGCATCAAACACTCTGAGGGTGGAGATGTTCAACACGGAGATATTACTTAACCAGTTTGATTCCAGGAACAGCTCCTGTAGCTTCGGAAATTGGCCAAAGTCAGCAATTCCGCCAGTCAAGTAGTTGTGGGAAAGTGAAAGCCATTGCAACTCCTGAAGCTGGCCAAGCTCATGGGGAATCTGGCCAGACAACTGATTCTGGGCCAAAGACATCCTTTCAATGCTGGCCAGCCCTCCGAGATCTGCTGGGATGTGACCCGTCAAACGATTCTGGTTAAGGAACAACTCTTGCAATTCCTTGAGTTGTCCGAGCTCGGGGGGGAATCTGGCCTGACAGTTGGAGCTGATTCAGATAAAGCAGCCGCAAGTGTTGGAGCTCACCAAGCTCTGGTGGAATCGCGCCAGTCAGCTGGTTTTGATCCAAGCAAAGTGTCTCCAAGAATTCGAGCTTGCCCAGCACGGATGGAATCGCACCGCTCAGCTGGTTGGAGCCCAGCTCCAAGCGCCTCAAGAAGCGCAATTGGCCAAGCTCAGTGGGAATCTCACCTGTCAGCTGGTTATGGCCAAGGCTAAGCACCTGCAGGCTGCTGATCTGGCCGAGCTCCTGGGGAATCTCACCCTGGAGCTGGTTGTGCTTAAGTTCAAGTCTCTCCAGGATTTTCAGCTCACCAAGCTCCACAGGAATCCTCGGAGGTGTCCAAAAGAGACAAAAAGATATCTGTTTCGAAAGGCACAGAGTTCCGTCGGTTCTTCCACATGACATTCCAAGGTCAACTCAAATCAAAAGAACTCATATATGGATTCCTACGTTGGTATTTTATGTACTGTAAACAACTTATCTACCATCGACCCCGCAAAATCACCTTGTTCCAAGAATCACACCATCGAGCTCTTGCTGACTTAGGAAAATACCTACGACTCGACCATAACCATCGCAGTGGAAGTGCTGCCACAATGAGCAGGCATTGGCAGAAAGGCTCTTCGCACGGGCCGATGACATGCCGAGCTTTTCCAAAATCTGCTGTAGTCGTAGCCATTCCTGGGGAAGAAAACACACTGAGCTTCTGGTATCTTCAATCATGCAACAAAGAGCATGGCACAGAATCTCACAATTCAGAATTCAACAGTGACTTTTGGAACAGGTTCATCCCACCTTGTGATAATCAATTAATTCTACAAAGGAGACACCAATCATTTCCATTCATTTCCGTCCTGCCAGCACCCACTCCTCACCAGCATCAGTCCGATCAAGAGAAGATGAACTCTCACCACAGCGCCACGAGTCCCGCGGCGATGACAATACATCGTTCTGAAGGTTCTTCACAGCGACCACTTTGAGCCGCACTCGGGACTCGGAGCGACACCCAAACTCGGAGCGACACCGAAACGCCAAAAAAGGGAACGCTCTCAATCAGGGTGCAGGGCATGGTGCAGCAGATCGGATCAAACATGATCAAACCATGATCCCTATAGGTCCTAGGTGTTCAGGGACCAAGGCCGGAGTGAAATCCGAGTGGTTGGGGCTTTTGACGGTCGTGGAAAACGCGTGGACCCTCTGGTGGTGATCTTGTGAGGGTCATCAATGTGATACCTATAATATGTCTCAAAGCCAAACCTTATTGACCTGTGACTGCACTGATCCTCAAGCTTGTTTTACTTCGAGTGACGCCCACCGTGACATATGGTTGTTGAAGAAGGAACTGAGTTTGCATTCACAAACTGTCCTGAACATGATCTGACATGTTTTTGTGGCATCAAGTCTGGTAAGTCTTTTATAACACTTGTTCTGGCGACATGTATAATTATGACATCTATTCCGACATATGTTCAAGTCTGACATGTGTTCTGACACCTGCTCTGCTCCAACATCTAGTTTGACATTCTCTGATACATTATGACTTTAATTGTTCTGACAATATGTTTTCGCATGTGTTCTAGCATAGGTCAACATGTGTTCTGTATTTTTTTCTGTATCTACGTTCTGACTCTTGTTCTGACATATGTACTTGCACGTGTGCTGGCGCCAGGTCTGATGCTCGACAAGCCATGACCGCTCTGTACTGGCGGTCCGATGAGCAAGAAGGCACACTGCACTTGAAGCAGGGTACAACGCGAAGGAGGCGGAGCGGCGGAGGAGAAAAGGACGACATGATAGTCCATCCTAAGAGCGATGGCCTCCAACCTATGGCCTCCACCCTAAGAGCGATGGCCTCCACCTCCACCCTAAGAGACATGTGGAGGAAAACGAGGAAGCAAAAGACAAGGAATACGCTGATATCAAGTCTAGAGACTAGGATGGTCATGGTTTCCACTGTGACAGCAGTTTCTCCACCCCTGGGTGAGTGTGAACTCGACAGCCAATCGCCCGCCACGAAAACATTGCGTCCCTCCTTCAGAAGCCAATCCTTTACAGTCCGTGCATTCAGCATGGTCTCTGCCTGGCCAAGGGGTGTCCCACCAGGCATCCTCAGGTTTGACCGGATTCACCACGCCCCCCGGTTTGCAAAGGAATTTGAGTCATGTTCCAAGTGGGACGCCGAAGTCGGACCGCACAGTGGGGTGCTTTTGGTGTTGAGAAGGCCACGTTCACCCCGTTCGTAGCGTCCGAAACGCTCCGTTCGAGTCGCGATGCCAGGGTCGCCCCGTTCGTAGCGTCCGAACGTGGGATGCTTTTGGTGTTAAGATGTGGTGAGTCTTTCCAAGACTTTGGACCCCCAAAAGCAGTGTGTGAGTGTTTTCCAAAATCCTCATCTAACCGCAAACTCACAAAGTACTGGATTGTTTTGGGGTAATATGTCTATATGCAAAATGGAGCGTAGATAGGCATAGAGTCAATGAGGGAGCCCAAGAATGGCAAGGCCGAGAGTTGGTTCTGAAAACGACCAGACTTGCATGGATGAAACAATGGACAGGTCCCTCTAAGCTATGTCAATACCGTTGTCCGTCTTACTTTTTGCAACAAGGACTGTTGGTAGTTGCGGCACACTACTAAACTCTGATGTTGAGCTCCAGCAGCATCTATCTATTCAACGAATTTTCACCAGATCCTGAAGTCAGTTCGTTCAGGTGAATTTTCACAAAACCTTTATTCTGCCCCTTAAGACCCTCTGTTGTTTTCCAACCAGCGATGGCCTCCACGCTACTAGCGATGGTTTCAAACAGAGAACCACTCTCCGACTCATCGCAAATGACTAAGGGCCCTTCACCACTCTTACCCACGAGACTGTTTCTGTGACGACCCCATCGCTGCCACGGAGGTCGCACCGTAGTGAACGTTTTGGAGATCACCACAACCAAGGTCGTCTCAGCATTAAGCCCGGTCCTCAAGCAAAACGGCGGGCGTGTGACACCATGAACCACAGGGCTAGTGCAGCTGGAACTTGCTAGTGCCGACTCTTGCTTGTCCAGGATGAACTTCTTGCAACCAAAACTCTAATGTACTTGGACTCCCTTGGACTCCAAAGATTCGAGGACCAAAAGATCCATCCGACCCCTGTACTTGAAGCCCACCAGCTGCCCAGCTGCCCACCAGCCGCTCTACTACTATGCGTCACTCCGGTCGGGTACCGACTACCGGCCACGCGCGCGCGCGCGACCGACCGAGGCACAGCGCGCGTTTCACGTCGATGGGATCCACATTGGCCAAGAACCGCAAGGAGCGCCCCTGCGCGGCCTGCGCCCCTGCTGGGTCGGTGCCTCGGCGATTGGAAGACCCGATTGGAAAGAAGGACTTGGAATTGGAAGACAGACCCTGACACTTAGGTCTTCATGAGCATGACTTATGAATAACATATGACATATATGTGTATAATTAGATTGATAATATATGTAATTTAATATCATATACATATATTAAGTATAGACACTTCATAAATTGGATTGGCTTGTGCCATTCATTCAGGTCAATCCAGAATGACACCAAGGCTACATATATGACGATATGGTCTCCTTGATAAGGTCCTCTTAGTCCTGTTGACCCCCCCTTGATGCTCATCTTCGATTTCTTGTGTATACTGAGTATTACTGCTAAAATGACGATACCTAAGCACATCTTCTCACATCCAGAACACACCCGCGCTTAAACTCCAAGCGAGCTTCGCAGTGCTTCATGGACGAACTCCACACCCAGGTAGGAGCCACCGATTCCTGAGCGGACCGGCTCAGCGCCTGGTCTCAGAGTGCCTTTTTCTTTTAGGCCACACCTGAACAAATAGGAACGGCCAATTTCAATATATTTTGGAAAACGTTTGAACACAGGTGCCAAAAGTTGCGATTTCAGGTTTTTGATTGAAGCCTCACTTGATATAAGACTAAGTTACATTAAGTTACATATTTTGAAAGCTTCTCCAATGGCCAATGTCAAAGCGGTTACTTTTCTTCTACGTATAGTTCCTGTGCTCTTGCCAGGGACGGCTAGTAAGCCAGAACCAAACGAAGCATAACAAATAACAACGCTTAACTTATTCACATGTACAAGGTTGGTGCCAGGCTGCTTGCAAAGGATTTGCTTGGTACTGGCCTGCTTCCTACTCACAGTGCATCAAACACTCTTCCATCCTAGTCACCGTGCCTTCAGCCTTCAGCCACCTTTTCTTACCCCAAGAAGCTACGTTCGTAGCTGGCATCGCTACGAACGGAGCAAGTTCGCAGAGCTCACGTAGCTCCTGGCCTTACTATAGTACTAGTAACAAGGAAGCTACGTTCGTAGCTCCTGAGAGATGAACGTTGACTCAAAGGCACCGATGCAAAGCACGTCCGTGAGCGTCTTGCCTTCCGAACGAGTCGACGGCCCCTGCACTGGCGGGGCCCATGCCATCGGGCGTCTTTTTCGGACGACTGCGAACAGAACCAATGGCAAGTGGAGGTGGTCCAACGCGTGATGCGGAAAAGGGCCGAACATTTCAGGTCCATCTTCCAGTGGTGAACTTCAAACAAAACAACTCCGCAGGTCCGCAGGGGTTTTAAATAGAAGGCTTTTGGCCAGGCATTCACTGACGAGTGGGGTCTAGGTCACATATGGTCACATTGGCCGGACGTAGTGTACTTGAGCAGTCATCCGACTACAGGTGTTCTGCAAACGGATCAATCTGGAAACCTCTATGTTCAATGTTTCTAGGTGTCAACAAAATCTGGCCGTCTCAAGCACAACGAGGCTCCACGAAAAGTGTCGAACTATAATTACATCTTCCTAGTGGCAATCCAGAATGAGAAATCCTTAATTAGTGACTGCTGTAATAGTATCGTACCACGCTGGAAATGTGGCACATGTCTCCCCTTCTATTAGTAGACGACCCAATCAGGTTGAACACAGGTGAACGGTTGCCCAGTCAAACGGAACTAGTTGGGATGAGATGGGAGGAGTTGGTTGCTTCTGTTTTTTTTTCAACTTTTGTCCTAGCAAAAAAACACACGAGAACGCGATGCCAACGGTTTTGAGACAATCCACATGGATCAACAGGTTCCCGGAACTTTCAACGGCTTCCGAAAAACGGCGCCCGACGGGTCGAACGAGACGGAGGTAACCGCGCGTTCGCGCGTGGCGCTGTTAACCCGTCGTGTCACGCCGGTGTGGCCCAAAGACGCTATGGCATTACTAGGAACAAATAGCTAGGAACAAGGGCATCGCTACGAACGGAGCAAGAAGCTACTAGAGGCAATGGCCCAACGATTTCCTGTTTCTCACGCCTGTGTGGCCCACAAAGCTGCCACTGCGGACCTTCTCGCTGAAGGCCTGCGTAACTCGGAGGTCATGAATCACTCATATGATATATCTACATGTTGAATGATCATGACTTTCACATTGTTTTGCTGTTGTTTCGAACGATAAATCAACCTGTTTTTGTTTGCTTTTTGTGTTGATCTAATAAGACCCAGCAGTGCATCCGCCAAATCTCACGGAGGAAGACGTCTCAGGTCACGACCAGGACGGCTCACCAGGTTTCTGCTCCTAGTCACCCTACCCAAGACGTCACTGATGCAGAAACTGATAGCAAAAGTGTCTGGAGTTCATCACATGTCTGAATCTCCCATTGAGTCAATGTGGGTGAATGCGCAATATTCTATGTGGACATTGAGGGACACTATCTGTAATCTATGTTCATCAGATCAATGTGGGCAATTCCATCCATGGATCGTCTTCGTGTTTGAACACCACCTGGTCATCAAGGGAGCCAGGTCGATGCTGTCTCTCTTTCGCATTTAGAAACATGGACAACTGCAGAATCCCCAACATGGCTAGAGACCTCTAGGTTTAGTAGCTAGGCATGCACTGGGATGTACTGCGTATGCCGGTGTTCCGATGAACTGTTGGACAAAAGGAGAAACATTGACAAAACCTTCAGATGGATCAGGGGGGATGAGCATGATCGATCTGTTCAAACCTCAGAGCACCAAGGCTTTTCAAGGCATGAAATAGTGAGAAAGACCAACTCCCACACTGAGCCAGATGTTTTACCCAAAGAAATGGTACATCATCATGTTACATAACTCTTCAGGTCTGTGGTTTTAATTATTGAATTTACAACAGAATGATCATGAATGATTGGACATCCCTGATGGGGATTGACGGGGCACCTGAGCCAGAGACCCAAACCATTTTTTGTCGACCCTGCTACACCCAGACGTGCCATCTCCTGAGCCCAGAGTCATGGCCCATGGCAACCGTCCATACCGTCCATCCGCCGGTCGACCGCATGGCCCCGCATGGCCCCGCATGGCCTTGATCGCATCCAGGACTGAGTGCACCTCAGGCACCACGTTCTTCCCATCAACGTTGATCACCTCCTGAGGATCGAACGTTCTGCGACGTCACCGCGTACCCAGAGGTCACAGCGGTGAAGACAAACGACGCGTGAAAACTGTGGCGCGGTAGTTGTTGTGCGGTAGCTAGTTGTGCACCTGCTTGAGATCCGAGATACTAAAAACCATTGTAATATACACATTTGATACATATTATATATAATATATACAATATTGTGCAATGCTAAATAGATGTGAGTTTGTTGTCTTCATCAGTATGACCAAACAAGCCAGGAACTTTGACTGCTGCGTGACGCAACATGTGCACCTTGCAAAGGCTTAATCTGTGAGAAGCACCAGTTGGGATTTCTGATCAACAGCACCGCTGGTTAAACGGACATTCGCGATCATTCGCGGAACACAAACATACCAACTAGTAGAAACACGTGCTTGCTTTCTTGAACAGCAACATGACTTGCCAAGAATTCCAAGCAGAATGCTGGTCACAATCTCTTGAAAGGATTCTTCCATTGCTTCTTCAAACCAACCGCATCGTTTTCTCCGTTCACCGCTCCTGGGGAGGGGCCCGCAGGGCGACGTGCAAAACTGCCCGGCCCTCCGTCTGGTTGATCTTTTCCTCAGACCGTCCCGGCGTTCTTCTTGGGGGGGGATAAGCAAAATACATATAGCAGTATAGTGTCAACACGGGATTAATCGACCCACCCCTTCCAGGTCAACAAGATCAAGGTTTAAGATTGGAGGTATTGGAGACCACATCCCCCCTAATAAAATGATGACCTGATGATGGATGATGGTTGATGGGATTCTGTGTGAACCATGAGGCCTGTGTAAGGGGGTGCCCTTTGTGAGCTCGAAGACCTTCAGATGCTGATGGAGTTTTAATAAGGGACAATTAACAAATGTTGCTAGAGGTTTTAGGGATTGTGGAACAATGGATAAAGAAAGTCAATGATGGGCTGCTTGATTAATAGGGGGAGGTGTCGGGGAGGATATCAATGTGGAAATTCAATTGTCAAATTGTAATTAGTTTAGTATTGGGGGATCGAGCTGGGCTTGATTGATATAAGGGGAGGTTTTCCTTAATCCTGTGTGTCGGTCACGGTGATGGGCTGAACTTGATTCCGTTCTTTCACACGCTTCGCACAGTGTTTAGTTCGCATCATGCATGGGACACGATGCATGATGCATGGGTCCAGCTTCGCTCCCCCAAGCTCCAGCTGAGCCTTCACTCACTCGGATCACTCGGAATCGATGTCACTCGGGCCCCGGCTCCGGCGAAGAGCGCCTTTTTCTTTTCTTCGACACCTGCTGCCTTCGCACATGGGAAGGTCTGAGAAACGGTTCCAGCCAGTTCAGTTGGAGGAACCTCGGAGGAACTGAAGAGCGACTGGTGGCCCGGCCCGGCGTGAAGGCCTTCCCTCAAATTGGGAAGTTACCTCAGGTCAACCATCTTCTTTGGTTGATGGTTATGTCGCCAAGCTTCTGCCACCCCCGGACGCTGGGGGTGACTGAATCCGGAGCTGCTCTTAGAAAGCCAGTCAAAAACTCAATACCAGGGCCCCCTAAAAGTCCCTAAAAGGTGTCTAACTTAAACTCGTCCATGCCACTCTGACACGACTTCTTTGCTTCAAAGCCCCTGCGCCTTGGCCAGGTCGAAGAGCTGAGTCATGCACTCCTGGAACATCGATGTGACGCCCAGAGAGAAGCGAACGCCATACCGCGCTGGTGGCTGTTATCAGCCAGGTGGTCTTCATGTGAGCCTTGGAGAGGGTGTATTCTATGGAAGCTTGCAAGATTATGTTGCTCCTCTCCAGACTCGGACTTGCACATGACATTGGACACCGTGTCACTGCACGGCCGTGCGGCTCGTGCGAAAAAAAGCAAAAACAGCTCGGCCACCCTGGAGAAAGTGTAATAGGATGTAATGGGCCATCGGATGCTATCGGCTATCTGGCCACTTCAATCACACAGCCTACTTACGGATTCTTGCATTTCTCATGATTTCTCAATTTCCTATCATACTCAGCCAGAATCAACCAATGACCCACTCCCAGGTCGATCTCAGTATCGTCCCAGCGTCATTCTCACCTACATGTTACTCCCGTCCCCACCTGAGTGACTTTTTGTCTGCAGTAGTCGAGGCAAATGCCCTCAGCCTCCACCATCATCGCATCACACCTGCTTCGTTTTCTCCGGAGGTGTAGCGGTTTTTTGGTTGAAACCAGTTGTTCTTGGATTGCAACGATGGCAAATAAGCTGAAGATTCCTGGGACATCATCTTCTATGCAACATCATCTGGGCCAAAGTCGCTGATGTTTATGATACATCTTAAAAATATGAAAACCAGCCATGTGCATGGTACACAAAACAACACGTGGTATCGTTGGTGAATAGCCAGAACCAAAAACAACCACATGTCCGGCTATTCACAAATCACATATGTGATATGTGGCATTGTTAGTGAACAGTGAATAAGAGTGAATAGCCGATGGCAAGCACGTTGTGAAGGATTGTCAGCACGTTCCCAAGTCGCAACAGATTGATGCTGGAGCTGCAGCTCCTGTGTCTCTGAGTTCAGATTTTTGCATCCAAAAGCAACTACTTGAAGACTTTCAAGTTGAGCCGGCACGGGAAGCGGCTTTCTCTTGTCTGAAAGCACAACATCACTAAGCTGCCCCCATGGGGCCAAGCCCAAGCCCGAATGGCTCTGGTCTTATGTTGCACCGCAATAAGGATGGTTTCTGACCTTCCGGCCAACGGATTCTTGCCGAGCCCTGCAGAAAAATCACCGCGACACTCACTCACCGTTTTGCCTGGACAGTTGACATGTCTTGATTGATATCCTATATGGGGCTTCAAATACAACATCAGGATTCAAAAAAATGGATCACACTCCCTTCTACATTGGAACACCCAACAAAAAGCCCAAAAGCCTAGCTCGGAGACCGGGCACGGCACCGTGTACCTCGCCTGGCTTCATCTTTCAACAAGTCTCTCAGGTGCGTCGACTTCAACGCGTCCGCGCTCTTCTTCAAGGCCCCGAAGGACGCCTCTGTCATTGGCCTTAAAAGCGAAGACGGACGATGGGCGACTCAAAGCGGGTTCTATCTACTTTTAGTAGTCTTTAGATCTATGTTCTATATCATGTGTTATCCACTCTACTATATAGAATAGAGGACTTTTTGTATCTTTTCTCTATTCTTTTAGATGCGTGTATATACTTTCTGGCCAAACTTGAAGATTTCAGCTTCTTTCAAGATCCCAATGCTTTGAAGGTTCAGCACCTCTTCATGTAGCTGTTAGAACTCTTTGGCAGCTTCCTTCCATTTGGCTTTTCACTGCTGCTGACATGGACTGAGCACCGATTTGTTGCACGCGTTGCGATGATTTTCTATCCGGGACAGCGATGGCGAACGCTCGATGGCGGAGAAAGAAAGCCATCCTCAAAGTCCCGGCCCGGTGGAGTAACTTCTTGATCGCTCCAAAAAACGAATCAAACAAGGAAACTCTATGTAACATCTATGTATATATATATATAAAGGTCAATACAATATCAAGACTTGGCTGTCAGAGAGAGGTGCAAGTTCAAACACATCTTTGGATTCCCACATCTCATACATATATACTGCACTTGCACCCAACCAAGCTTGTGTGTTCATGTCATCCTCCTGCCAATGTGGAACTTGTGTGTCAACTTCTGTCAAATGACTTGCATGGGAAGTATATGCTTGTCCATGTCTTTTCTGCAATATGATTTATGCCTTTGATGAATAATACAGTATCTATTCCAACCTCATCACATGTCTTTAATCAAACTGCCATAGCGTCATAGCGTGCTTTCTCGCTATCCATTCCCACCGATCGCTCCTCCACTCACCACACTTCCCGCCGCCTTGAGCCTTTTAGCTCAACAGCTTGTGCCTCTAAACCCAGCTTGAGCCGAGACATGCCGCGCACGGTTTGACGCAGCAAATGCCCGCAAAAGACCACGGAAAACGCAGGAAAAACAAGACCTGGATCTTCTTCGTCATGACATCTCTGGAGACCTCAAGCTGTTCCAGCTGGAGACCTCTCGCTGTCCAATATTGTGGACTCATTCATTTGAGGACCTGCTGACAGGTGCTGGTGGAAAATGGAATTCATGGCCATCTGCACCGTTCGAAATGAGAAAATATGAGAAATACGGAATACGTTTCATTGGGGCAGCTCAAAGATGGAAGCCAACTTCACTAAAACTTGTGGAACACCAGTCAAACTAAGAGGTCAATGATGGTCAATGCTAGTGAACAATGGTCTTGTACACAAAGAAACACTGACCTTCTTAGTTCATTAAGCCACAAGGGTCTTGCGGCAAGACGTTGGGTCACCCAGGTTCCCTTCTGTGAGGTTCGGAATGGATCACAAAGAAAGGAACCTACCGGTGGAGCCACGGAGCGCAGTGACCCGGAACAAACTGTGATCCGGTTTGTGTTGGAAAGTGATAGGTCCAATCCATCTGAGCCATAGCTCTTGGAGCTGTTATTAGTTTTTGTTTGGTATGTTCAAAGTCAATGTTTTGGGCTGCCACTCTCCCTCTGCGACTCCCTCTCCCTCTCGCTCTCTTTCTCTCTCTGTCTCTCTCATCATTCAATCGGATGCTGATAAGTGCTCTCGTAGACACACCCTGAGGACACGGACATAGCACGTTTGGAACCGGAGACAAACATGTCATGCAATTGAAGGATCTGAATGCTGCCACCCGACAATGCAAAAAAGAATTGCCATTGTGCAAGAGTGCACACCAGATGCCTCCCTCTTACATCCCTCTTACCCGTCTCAGGATGAATGCAAGCTACCTCAAAAAGGGTAGCATCCTGCACCGTCCTGGGAAGTGTCCCCCCCAACCCCGCCCGGTGAGAACCCCCGCGAAGTCTGCTCTTGACATCCAACTGGTGGGCGAAGGTGTTTCCACCACCCAGCCTGACCGTGCACGACACGAGGGAAAAGACGGGGCGCAAGAACGGAAGAAGGGAAGCAGGGAGAACCGCATATAGAACAACAAATTGGTGTGTTTTTTTGAGTTGAATGGATGGATCATGGATGCATGAGCATGCTATAATGCAATGCTATGAGCATGCGATGATGCTTTCTTGGCAGGAACAAGGGCATGAATCCCGAACATGAGCAACAAAAAGCTGGGATGGATACTCCTTGAAGCGAGTGACTCATGTGGGGACGTCAAGGGCTGTTTGGTGGTGTACAGCCCCGCATAGACTTGGCTTCCAACGCGAGTTCGCAGCAAGGGCGTGTGCTTCGAACATGGGGGCACTGACTACCTGAACTCCAGGTCAACAAGACTGTGTCTGTATGGTGCTACAAAAGTGTTGCACATCAGTTGGATGAATCGAGTTGGACCGTCTTGGTGCAACTAGATCCCCCATGTGCAACTCGAGTTTAGCCTTCAAATGTATTCTTCCAGGCTTCGGAATCAATGAACAAGTGTCGAAGAACATCATGTTCCATCATGTTGTACATTATCGTATCAGTTGACATCAATATATGTAATCATTATATAACTATATATATATATGTGTACACTATTACTTATAGTTAAACAAGATATTACATCCACAGAGTAGATGTAACCATGATGTATGATGTACTCACTTGTGTTCCACCCTGGTAATACTCATTGTTGGAGAATCCATGAGAATCCCTCCTCTGCCGATTCGGCTCAGGACTCCCGGACCCGGGCAGGGCGTTTGGATCACGGACGATGGACTGCAAGGGACCTCAGTCGCGCACACGAGGCACGGAGCCCGCCGGTTGGGATGTGGATGAGACCCAAACAGGTCAGTTGGACCTCATTTGGAGTTCGTCATATTTCAGTGTCCTCAGCTCTTCGGGGGAGACCTTTTGAGGCCAAAACCGACCTGGAAGAAGAACCATCGTCTATCTGGCCAGGGCGCGCCTCCCCATCAAACCACACACCCACCTTTTGTATCCCCCTTGCAATTCGGCCTCTCTCTTGGACTGTCTGATTCTTTAGGAGGCCATGGTGGCCACTGCCAGCTGCCACCTTAAAGAATCCTCAATCCACAGTGCCCATACCAACATGGTAGCTTAAAGAATCAGGACTCTGCCAACACATACTGGGCACTGGCCCTAAAAAACAGAACATGTTGAGCACAGTGCATGTGGTGCCATCTGATTCTTTAGACTGGGACACGTGGCTGGGTTCTGATTTTTTAGGGGGATAGGCCCCATGAAATAGCATGCCGGTGCATTTTCCCCCCAAAGCCATGCAAAAACAATACAAAACCCAAAAGACATGAGTTTTCACAGGTTTTTGGATTGTCGACCATTGTCGACCTTCTGATAATTATGGTGGATGACGAGGCAAATATATATATATATATATAGGAAAATGTTTGAAGAGCGATCATCATTGAACATTGTGATGTTATGACATGCTCACTTTTGATAAAGGCATTTGCCATTGGATGCCATTGGCATTGATCTCCAGGCTAAAAGATGCGAGCGTGTGGCAAAAAATGCACCTCTAAAGAATCACACTCCGCTGCCACTCTAAAAAATGCATGGTGAACTCTAAAAAATGCATGGTGAACTCTAAAGAATGGCCTGCTTTTTGACAACCGGGTTGTCTGATTCCCTAGAGGAAATTGCAAGGGGGGTCCTTTTGTCACTGTTGCGCTCTCGGGCGCCCATCGATGCCCGTTCCGGCCCACGAAGGGGCCGGACCGATCGAGCGCCGGCCTAACACCCATATACGGTGGTTTCAGTGGTTTCAGAGGTTCGATGGCATGGTTCCCCCATCTATCCTAGACAGATGGGGGTCCACTACTAAACCACCTAACTTGGGATTTGTGCCATCTACGACTCGATGAGGTGTTCAGCACAGGGCCTTGCTGGGCCTGTCCGGGAACGAGTATCTCTTAAGCGAAACGCCGGTGTGACGCGTCCAATAATTCTGTGGTTGCTAAATGTGTGAGCTGGATCTACTTGCTCTCCGAACTTTTTGCGAAAAGTTGAAAAGTTGTGAAAAGTCGAAAAGTGCACGAAAAGGCAACGATGATAAAAGAGTCACCCGCCAAAAGGTCCCGGGGCTTGCCGGGTCCTTTTGGCGGGCGTCTCTTTTTCGAAGGCGTTCCTGCTCGAGGCTAACTCACTTTGACACGGCTGGAGATGTCTGGAAAACAGCAACCTGTACCTATTAATCAAGCCCACCCTCTGGCCTCCATCTTTTTTTCCATCTCTTTCATCCTGCAATCCTCGTTCATGTCCTAATCATCCCAATCAAAGAAAGAATCTTGTCTTCCAATCTCTTTCATCTCTTTCCTAATCATCCCAATCATCCCAATCCCAATCTTTCCCAATCTTGTCATCATCTCATCATCCATCATCAGGTCATCACCTCTATTAAGGGGATGTGGTCTCCAATCCCTCCAATCTCAAACCTTGTTGACCTTGAAGGGGGTGTTGATGAATCCTACGTCGACATGACTTCCAGAAGGCCATCTGGAGTGAGCGCTTCAGCAGACCGGCTTTGGGACAATCAGGAGTGAAGCCATCAAGCACTTATGTTTGATCCTGATCGACCCTGATCGACCCCGATGGCTCACCACTTCCCCATGGCTCACCCCCCATGGCTCGAGAGCAGAGCGTCCGCAAAGCCGAAGCTACCAAGTCGAGCCCACAGAGTCCAATGAGTTCGAGTTCATGATATTTTTTGTGTTTTAATAGTATGTTTAAATTATTGTTTATATGTTATTTAGTGTTTGTGTCATTTTTAAAACCCTTTTCTTTAGTTTGGAGTTAAGCAGTTAAACCGTTAAACCACCTTTGGGGAAAAACAACACGTCAAAGGCCCGCGAAAACCAACGACATGGCCCAGCAGCTCGAGAGGTACGCGGCGGGGTCATAGGCGTCATCGGTTCCTGCAGATCGATCTAGCTGAGACTATGGTTGATTGCATCCCAATCAATTCCTTTACACTATATGATGCAAGGAACGAGATTCTAGCAACATCAAAACTGCTTGTGACTGGGATTCCGAAATCAGAAACTCCAAGCTTTCACCGAAAAACTCGGTGACATGGGGAATTCTGTGAATAGTAACTAGAACTGGGTCAGGCAAATCTCCGTAGGTTCAATCTCCTCAGCTGCATCAACCCGCCCTGCAGAGGAATTACATGGATTTTACCCTCAAATTGCGGTGGTGCGCTGTCCCGAGATGGCTGCCTAGACGGAGTCTCCATGCCCCCGACCTTGGAGTCGTCCCAGACCCAGACCGTTGCGTCTCTGGTCTCTTCGTGCGCTGTCCCGCCTTTGGGATGGTCAGCTGGCTCTTCCGGGTCGGTGAAAGCGCATCCTGTTCGACGGCGGGTCGAGTGGTTGCAGGGTTGCCGTAGGGTGACTGATACACTCCCGAACTCACATGGTTACCTGGATGGCGTGGCCCCGAAAGGAAGACTACTTTCCTCCACCAAGAGGGGGTTGTCCACTTCCATGATTGTTGCAGGGAGGGTATCTGTTCCAATCACTGATGTTGATGCTGCTGATTATGATGCTGACGACGACGATGATGATAGTCAATAGGTGGTTATGTAAGTGATCACATGTACATGTGATCATTTTCTTACCAACTCACCCAATGATTGGGAAAACCACAACTTCTGGAACTTGCTGAGTCTTGAGCAAGTGGCGGGATGATGGTCACACTCCCATCAGTGAGAGCTTCGGGGGCTTCAACCCTTGAACCTTGGACTTCCCCAGGCATTTGTTCTCAGGAGTAGCAGTCGGCAGCTGTGCACACGTTGAGACCCGCTAGTCACCATCATGGACACAATTCCGCTGTTCTTTTCGAATCAATGATAGAAACAGGCATTGGCTATGAGTGGGACAGATTCCGTCCACTCACCTGAAACCTGGCCATGTGTCGGCCCTAAGGGAAATCCGCTGGATTACTAATCCCTGGCCTAGCTTCACAGCAGGTCATCGGTGGCATCCTCAAGTTAGATAAAACAGCCATCAAACAATCCAACAAAACAACTGTCAATCTTCGGACGAACAATCCCAACCAACAACTCTCAATCTTAAATGTTACCAACAGAGTCCATATATGGTCTCCATTCTTGGCATTCTTCACGGCACTTCTCAGTATCTGAAATTCTTCCGGTCCCTCGGAAACAGTGCAAATTCTCTCCTCATAGGTCAGCTTGGTCCCTCGCTCACACCTTGGACGGCTCGCGGTAGATGAACGGTCATCCCGGAAAGACCAACACATGCGATCGGCGAGAGGTAGAGTTTTTGCTTTCTTGGATGACATTCCAAACCACCCTGTACTATTCGGAGGATGAGTCTGCATCTGCTGTCCCCTCTGCAAACTCTACTCTGGCAGCAAGTGGGACTCCAAAAAGCCATATAGACGCCTTAATAAGACACAAATAAACCGAACAAGTCCTAAAGTAAATCCTCCAAGACCCTTACAAAGGTTCATTCTTCACAAGAACAAGCTTAGAGATAACCCCTTTAAAATGGTAGCTGGTAGAGCACTCGCTCTCAGAGAAAGTGGAGTCCAATCGTGGGGCATGTGCTCATTTCTTCCACTACAATGAGATCTGCAGATCTACGCACTACGCTGACCTACAGTAAGAACAATCGCACAGTGGCGAAACCTGGCAGCTGGCACTGCCAGGTTCGACCAAAATCTTAAACACGGATTCCCATCCAAAATCATCCAAACATCCGCGACATTATGTGACATTATATCAGTCACAAATATCACTCGCCATACCTTGATGCCAGAACACATTCCTCTCTTCCCACACCTGATGTCTCCCCCTCTTCGCCACCCATTGGGCCCCTCCGTTGGCCCCCCTGGCTCCTCCGAGACAGCTCCCAGAGTCGGTCCCGAAGCCGGCACGAAGGTCTCAGCCGCCTCTGCGGAAGATGCGAGAACAACATACGCCTTTATTGAAGAAACATGGATGTGAACATATGTAAAGTATTCATATTAACTGGAATGGTAAAGTATACATATGTGCACTGTATACTATATATATTATAAAATATGTAATATATGTCCTGGTATGTATAACTATATTTCTGATGAGATTAGATGGTATGGAACATCTGTGGACAGTGGATCCGCTACAATGCCACACATATATGGCAATAGATTTCCCTGTCCAGCTGACGAACAAAGGCCTTGGTCCACAGAGCTTGCTTACCACATGGCCGTGGTTCCAAGAAATGAGAAATTAGACCAACCTGGAAAGAACACAACATTAAAGACACCTACTAGCAATGGTCTCCAACCTACTAGCGATGGCCTCCAACCAAATGTATGAGTGCATGCTTGTACAAATCATATATGTTTTCCGAAGAAGCATCGGGCAGCAATCTGCGTGCGTGTGTTCTGTTTGGAGTTGGGATCATGCTCCATTTTCAAAACTGACAATACTCTGCTCATAATGAGGGTGTAGTGTTTGTTCCTAATTTGCAGGATATGTCCAGCAGCAGACCGGAGCCAAAATGGTTTGGTTGTATGGGCGTCTTTAGCTCTAATCCCAAAAAGTACACTCCCGCAAACACGGAAGTGGGAGCCCTTTATGGTTCCTATAGAAACTGACAGGTATCATTCTTTACACTCCCACTCACTAACATGGACATGGAAAACCCCTGTTCGTAGAGCAACATGGTCTTCCGGCCTGTTTTCCACTTCCATGTTAGTGGGTCATTCATTCTCTACTTATATTTCTTTCAGACATGGTGTCACCAAAGCTCCAAACACCACCTCCAACGAAACGCGTTAGCCACGCGGCGTGCGCCACCCGACCTGCGTCCAGAAAGGGCACACCGGCGGCGGTGTCTCGCCATCGTCCATGTGCACCGGCCCGCGCTGTGGACGCAACGGTGTCTCTGGTGCCGCGCTGGATGGCATCATGGGCCTGGGCTGAGGAAGAAGTCACAATGGCAACAGAAAGAAGAACAAGAAGCAGCAACATAAACAACATAAAAGGAAGATCAACAAAAAACAAACAACAAGACAATAATGATAAGAAGAAAAAAGAAGAACCTGCACTCTACAGGTCTCTGAAGAGGGGAGAGTTTCTTGGTAGAACATGCGAAACACGTCTGAACCATCGGAGTCAACACAACAATCTCGTGGCACAGAAACTGATGAAGTCGGTCCAAAATGATACACCAAACGTGTTTTACTTTCTCCAAGCTTCCTTTCTCCATGTTCCCTCCCGATCGTTGCTCCACACGCACGAGATCTGGTCGAACGAAGCCGTTCTCCAACTCTCCCAAGAGCCTGTCTTCTGATTCAAGTTGGATGTCAACTAAGAGGATCGGTGGGGAGCCCAATTCCGATTCTCCTTGAACACGTGTCTTTTTTGTGATTTCTCTACTTCCGGCATTCTGGAAGCAATTCATCACCACCATACGGTGCCTTGATTCAGGTGATTCAGCACATGTGGCTCTGGACTCTAAATTGAGCCCAAGGAAGCGACCCCAGCAACGACAGCCATGAGAATGCTAATTCGCCAGGAGATCAGGTACCAGTTCTTCATATAGGTCTTACTATGTCCGTTTCTTCTGTTTTTCCGCGGGTCCATTCCACCATGGAATTCCGATATCTGATGACTCCGTCTGAGAGCCGCCGGGACCAGATTCGGCCACCCCGACCGAGACCTCTGATCGTTCTGGCTTCCCGGACGGCTGCGCCATGAAGCGAGGATCGCACATGGGGTTCGCCTCAAACGCCCGACGCCGCGCAGCCGGGACCCGGCAAGAAGCCGGGTGTGTCCCGAGTGCCGGTGAAGGCGTGGGTGGACACCGGTGAAGGCGTGGACGTGAAGGCGAGCGTCGAACAGTGGCTGGTCACATAGCTCCGAACAGTGGAGACTGAGGGGATGTGCCAAGACTTTTTTGGGGGAAAGCTCCAAATTCTTGGGGTCGTTGACTTTGGGCGGTCTTTCAAATGTCCACAGAGCGCCTGTCACGTTTTAAATACAAAGTCGCCCGAAATTGGGTGACGGGCTCGACTTTTTGTGTTGAAGTTGAGCCAGTGACTGGCAGTGTCCAACACTTGGCTCTACCTTCCCAAATCCAAGTGTTGGAGTTACCACTTTGCTCTCCTTGGCCAACTTCCGCGGCACAACCTTCAAGAAACACGTGTGACGTTTGTTCGAGGCTCGCTTTGAAGCCTGTTGTTCCCCTCTCAACCACAAGTGACACCTTCAATCTCTCACTTGGCGCACTTGGGGTGTGACTGAACCGTCCGCCAATGAATGTCAAGAGAATGGGTTCCCTGGGTTCAAATGAGCAAGCGATATCGCCCATGCTCACTCAGCATGGGTCCAGGCTCCATGTGACTTGGAAGACCTACAAAAAAACAAGACCCACATTGGACTGGCCATATTATATTGGGTGGTTGACCCAAGTGAACGTTGGGTAACAATGTACATATTCCAGTCTCATGCAGTGTCGGAAGTGAAGAGTCAACAGGCAAAGTCTCGTCCAATGCATATATAACACCTGCATTTGATCAGCCATGATCCACCCACAGGCTCAGAAACAGGGTTCCTGCCTAAACGATATTAATTAGTAACTTGTGATGTAAGCTTTGGGCCAAATATCAGCCCACTTAAGGATTTAGTTGCAGAAACACAACACTCCACCGCCTCCTGTTTTCTTCTGCGTGTTCCCAGCATCCCAGCATCCCAGCATGTCCCAGCGCAGTTCAAAAACCCAGGGCCAAAAACACCATCTTACCAACCCCCCGGTGCCCCCTTGGTATAATACGAACCGACCTGGTAAGAGATGGAACGATCGGCTGAAGTTTTGACAGTTCATTCAACCGTTCAAACATGAATATATAGAGACATTCAAGTGTCTGGCATCACCATGTTTTCCATCACAAACGAGGCTCCAACTCTTTCACCGTTCTGGTCCAAGGTTTAAGAGCCAATCATTTCTGAGCGGAAACGATTGGATTTCAAAAGCACCTCCCTCCTTATCCATTTTGGCGGACTCATGCAGAGGAGATCATCAAAGGGCACTGGGGACACAACAAAAAAACACAACTTTTGTTGCTGAACCTCCTGTCCAGAAACTACTTCGAAGTCGGTGGAATCAGCAGGTTGTTCATCATGTGGTCCCAATGTACATCAATGAATTTCAAATCCCTTGGCACCTCAACAAAGACTTCTTGACCAGGAGTCCGCGACCCTGATCATGGGCATGGATTGCTCTTCACGTCTGCTTCTTGCGTTTCTTGCGACCGGCACGGTCGCCCAACCACAAGCATCCCACAGGGCTCCCAGCCGCTTCCACGTGTGGCACCTCGGTGTTGATCGAATCCACCGGACGAACCGGTTCAGGGTCGCCACCGGGTACTTGAACCGAGTAGGTGGCAACAGGGTCCGTGGGACGACAACACTCATATAAAAAACACATGCAGGTGTATGCTGTATACTACACTGCCGATCGTTTTTTTGACAATTCCGTCAACACTAACCGTTAATCTTAAATTATAAACCCCTCCTCCTAGCAAACAAATGAATGAGAACGAACAAACACAACCAGCGCAAAAGTAAGACCGGCAGGCATGTGCGGCTCTCAATTGGCATGTGCAGCGCTCAGCTCAAACTCTCTCAATTATAAGGAGAACGAAGCTGAACAGTTCAAAGCTAGACTAAACCCAAAATCCCAAGTATCACAGTGTCGCATGATTCCCACCCCAAAACAATTCATATAGAATTGACTTCGAAGGGGCTTGTGTACTGCCCCTTGAAAACTGTTTGGAGCAATGATCTCCATTACAGTCTTTTTTAAATGGTGGTTTTCCTAAAAGACTAAAAACAATTTTAGCTGAGAAATCGAAAGCTGAACCCAAATCCAAAAAATAGTTGCTTCGAGTGATCCCACCATGAAAAATGATTTGGAAAAAGGCAGAGCGTGTATAAATCGAAGTGGCTCGCCTGGTGTCCATGGTTCTTATTTTCAGCATTTCACGTCCCATGGCCCAAGGTGCCACAACCACACCCGTCAATTGAGGATATGGCCGAGAGCTGGCGGCCCTGTGCCTCCAGAACCGGTGTTGTGCAACGCGCATCCCGTCTCAGCGCTGCTCTCAGATTGAAGTTCTGGATCATTGACGGGACATGGTTAACCTTACTGTATCTGATCTTGGCGGCTTAGTGCTACATCCACTAACATGCCAAGTTTCAACCGTTTGTGGCTGATGCTGTGATCTTTTTGGAGCCTTGTTTGGAGCCTTGTTAGATTTCAATCTGGTTGAAGAGACCATGTCTACCATAGGTCACGCAAACCTCGTGAAGGAATTCGATCAAATTGGCTCCGGCACCGTGTGGGTCATCTTTGTCCCTCGTGGCATGGCACACAAAAACAAGATCAAAAAGCATGTCAGTTGCCAAGTGACTATGGCCCAGTAACTTGATTCTTTTGATGCTGATTGCCCTTTTGGAGCCCTTGGTGTGTCTTGTCGTACCGGTTCATCACTTGTTCTCTTTTGTCATCAAACTTCACTTGACTTGAATCATGCTTCACTGCAGCAGATTGATCTTTGCAGGTGGCCTCCCAGGTAGCGTCTGTGACGTTCTACCTGGTGCAAGCGGGCCATGTTATTTGGCACTTGCACAGCGAGGATGTCCTTTTGAGCTACGACGCAGTTTGCGCACGCCCCCTACCTGGACTACCTGGACCTATCCTCGCTCGGGAACTCTGGCTGCATCTATACATTGCCCCCTGAGTTGGATGGCGCCTCACCTGCGCACATAAGATTCGCCTCACCTGTGCACACAGCCTTTTTTTACATTTAACTCACCTGCGCACACAGGGTTCGCTCAGCTACGCACACATCGATTACATTATTATTCTTTAAACAGTGCATGTTACCTCAAACTCATCTGCGCACACAGACTTCGCTCACCTGCGCACACTGCAAATTGAGTCACGCTGATCTCTTTTTGCTCATTGCTTCCACAGTACCACGTCACACAGATGCTCTGCGTTTGATTGATGATGTTGGGATGGGGGGCTGGTAATAACGTCCCTCATTCATCCACTCATTCATTCATTCATTCGTTCGTTCATTCATTCATTCATTCATTCATTCATATTCATTCATATTCTTTCATTTCATTTCATTTCATTCCATTTCAGTTCAATTCAATTCAATTCATTCATTCATTCATTCATTCATTCATTTCATTTCATTTCATTTCATTTCATTTCACTTCATTCATTCATTCATTCATTCTTTCACTCATTCATTCACTCACTCATTCATTCATTCAATCATTCATTCATTCAATCATTCATTCATTCATTCATTCATTCAGCGTGCACAGCCGAGGAGTGCGTGCACAACCGAGGAAATCTATGCGCGTGTACAGGCGAGGCAAACTCCGCGAGCTCAGCCGAGGCTCCGCCCCGGGCTGAAGCAAGGTGGACCTGTGTGCACGCAACTTGGCGCTGCGAGGTTGCAGTTGTATGGTGATGGTCATGCTCAAAGGCACGGATTATCAAATTGATTTCCATTTTTTGTCCGTGGGACAGCATTCAGTTCAGAAATGTTCCGAAGGGAAATCATGTCTCAGGGTATGAATAGCACTGTGTTGGGCTTGACTTCAGACTGGGGTAGTGTCGATGTCACGATGCCTGCAACGAGAAGTGCAGAGTTGGAGAAGTTGGAATATGTTAGCAATGAGTCACACTGAAAATCTCGTCATCGTGCCTGGCATACAGCTTCTGCAATCTTTCCTGCGGCGTGAAGCTTTGCCTTTGGTTCCTGCAGTCCATGCTGGTGCATGCGATTCTGGATCTGTCTTGGTGGTTGTTTCGGACAGAGAGCACGGATATCTGCAAACCAAGCTCACACATCATGTTTGGCTAAATGCTCAGAAGTGGTTGTCAAAAAGGAGTCAATTTGGCCTGGTGTGCATCTTGGCTGAGCCATCGTAAGGCCCGATGACATCTGCGGGGAACACAGCGTATGCAAAAGAAAAACAAGGAAGCAAGATGCGGGCGTCGAACCGTCTTGTAGTTGCGGTAGGCCCGCCACACATCATGCGTGTATATATGTGTATATATTTGCATGATATTTGCATGTGTTCAGTACATCTCACAGTCTGATCATTGTTGTTTCATGTCGTTTCCCAGGTCCTCGGCTCATGAAAGTACACAAAAGAAGCTCAGCAAGGAACAGTTGTGAGACGGAACAACCGCAGTCTTCAATGTGACAAACCTGGCGGACTGTCCAAGCCCGAGCCGAATCCAAATCACATCGAAAAAGAACGATACTGATCTGGTGCAGATTCTTTTTGATTGAAATATCGCCTCACAACCCAAGCACTTCTTATTCACTTCTTATTGCGCGCTCTTTTTTATCAACCGCAAGGCGGTGGAGGTGGGGGCGGGGGTGCATTTGGCGGCGGAGGCGGCGTGGGCTTTGCCGCTCAAGCGCCACCGCCACCTGGCGCACGCTTCAGGCCACGTGCTGCCATCCAGAGCTGCGTCAGCATCTGTCAGGAGCCTAACAAGGATCATGACAAAAAGAAAGCTAGAAAACTCAAAACTGATCTGCATTCCATGGTGTGCACTTCAGAGTGTTGGCCAGTGCTGAGCATGTCAAATTTCCGACAGAGCATCATCTTGCCACGCCAACCAGCCAGATGCACATTTCATCATTTCATACTTATATATATATATATATATACAATCTTAGATAGCCGGACCGGATTGGATCTCATGCGCCTCTAAAGGAATGGCCAGTGCTGGAGCCGCAGCTGTGCAGCAACATCCTCGAGGGCAGCCAAGCATCAGCAGGCTGGCCTCACTTACTGCGCTCACATGTGTCCCAGCACACATCTGACATGGTGCCCTGACATCACTCACGGTCCATGGCATACTGACAACATGCACCATGGACATCCACGGGCATCCATGGGCATCGCGGACCATTCACCCGACCCAACAGAAACTGAACCAAAACTGTCTCCGAAAGCACTGACTGCAATACGTTCCATGCATCTGAGAAGCCACCAGAAGTGCAGCAACATAGAAATTGACACGCGCAGCCATGTGGTGCCCCAGCGGCTGTAAGCATTGCCTCAGATACTCTCCGACAGCCTCTGAGCAAGTTGCCGGCAGCTTTAATGCGAAATGTATAGGCCGTAAATGTAACCGCAAGTTTATCTTACATGGACGACAATTGTTGACCACGACTGTGATAGTGTCGCTGATGCGCACAGGACACCAACAATAATTGGATTAGCTCTGCTGGCCCTGTGTGCCAAGATCGAGGCCAGGAGTGATAGACCTTCACCTAGGCATAAGATTGCACTACCTGCTCTCCGCCTGTCACAACTGAGCTTGTCTAGTAGTCTTGCAACCTATAGGGCGGATAAAAGATATAAAAGCCTGCTCAGAAATCGTTTGATTCCAACATATTCCAAAATCTCCAACTACTCTGTACTTCTAGTTGCAGGCATCGTGACATCGACACTACCCCAGTCTCAAGTCAAGCCCAACACAGTGCCATTCATACCCTGAGACATGATTTCTGACATCCCTTCGGAACATTTCTGAACTGAATGCTGTCCCACAGACAAAGCAAGGAAATCGATTCGATAATCCGTGCCTTTGAGAATGAGCATCACCATACAACTGCAACCTCGCAGCGCCAAGTTGCACGCACACAGGTCCACCTTGCTTCAGCTCGGGGGGGAATGATATATAGATGCAACCGGAGTTCCTGAGCGAGGATAGGTCCAGGTAGTCCAGGTAGGGGGCGTGAGCAACAACTTCAGAAGTGGCTCTGCCGAGGCACGCGCAGGGAGGCATAAACACGTCGAGCAGGGTCAAGTGCACAAACTGGGTGTCATAGCTCAAAAGGACATCCTCACTCTGCAAGTCCCAAATAACATGGCCGGCTTGCACCAGGTAGAACGTCACAGACGCTACCTGGGAGGCCACCTGCAAAGATCAATCTGCTGCAGTGAAGCATGATTCAAGTCAAGTGAAGTTTGATGACAAAAGAGAACAAGTGATGAACCGACGCGACAAGACACACCAAGGGCTCCAAAAGGGCAATCAGCATCAAAAGAATCAAGTTACTGGGCCATAGTCACTTGGCAACTGACATGCTTTTTGATCTTGTTTTTGTGCGCCATGCCACGAGGGACAAAGATGACCCACACGGTGCCGGAGCCAATTTGATCGAATTCCTTCACGAGGTTTGCGTGACCTCAGGTAGACATGGTCTCTTCAACCAGATTGAAAGCTAACAAGGCTCCAAACAAGGCTCCAAAAAAGATCACAGCATCAGCCACAAACGGTTGAAACTTGGCATGTTGGTGGATGTAGCACTAAGCCGCCAAGATCAGATACAGTAAGGTTAACCATGTCCCGTCAATGATCCAGAACTTCAATCTGAGAGCAGCGCTGAGACGGGATGCGCGTTGCACAACACCGGTTCTGGAGGCACAGGGCCGCCAGCTCTCGGCCATATCCTCAATTGACGGGTGTGGTTGTGGTACCTTGGGCCATGGGACGTGAAATGCTGAAAATAGGAGCCATGGACACCAGGCGAGGCACTTCGAATTATATATGTAACGACAGGCTGTGCTGCGTAAAGCTGCCTGACATGTGCAGAACTGGCCTGAAGTCTAATGTTTTGACGCGTCACCTAGCATGAAGGTTCTGAAACTTGTTGTGACACTGGTTCGACTTCCATTCTGGCACATCATCTGACACTTGCTCAATCATATATTCTGGCACCTGTTCAGACATTAACTCTCCCATTCGTTCCGACATGTGTTTTGACATGTGTGCCGACATTTGTTCTGATATGTGTTCTTCCACCTATTCTGGCACTTGCTCTTACATGTTCTTGCATTATGTTTGACATGTGCTCCGACATGTGTTCAAATATGTTCTGACATGCATTCTGTCATGTGTTCTGACATGACATTTGTTCTGACAAACATCCAGCACGCTACACTCCGCCCTCTGAACCCGTAAAAGTCCAGCCTACATTGCACTCCATCCCGGAGCACGCCACACCGCAGTCAGGGAGAAGGAGGACGAGGAGGAGGAAAACACCCTGGACCCTGGGTGAAAGAACTGTTTATTCTTCCACGATGATCCCCGAAAACAATTCAGGGGAATACTTCCGGGCGAATCCGGGGAAGACTTATTGTCTTTCCCACCCACTAGATAGGGATGCAACATTGCAGTGCAGCTGTCAACATCCGTGTTGTTTTCTTGATCTGCTAGAGTCCAAGCACCGCAGCCCCTTCCACAAAAACTGAAGACTTCAGTTGCTCAGGTTTGATCGCCCATGATCCGACGCACGGTCTACCTGTCTGTCTGGAGGACCCTGCATACATCATACTGGAATCGCAAAGCATGTCGCAAGGCCATGTCGTCTGCCTGACATCGTTGTTCAGAAAAGGGATGGAGCATTGTGGCATTGAGGATCCCACATGATGACAACGAAAAACATATAAACCATGTAGTAGTTAGTGGTTTATTAAAGATCTGCTTAGTGGGCACTTCAAATGTATTGCGAGATCAATGCACCTAGAAGAACACAGTCAGCGTCACTAGCCACACAAACACACCTACACAACTCCAGCGAGATGAAAACATGTAAAAAGAACACATAAAACAAACAATATACGGTATCTCTATACTATATATATATACTTGTCGTGCATATATAAATATATAGTAATATTAGATTCATTATATACATGTTATTTATTGTCAAACTTGACCGTACCGGCTCAAGTTAGACGAAGGACGAAGTTCTTCCTAACCTGGGAATGTGTGCTTTGGGATATACAGTTCAGCGATCATCAAAACTCACAGCCTGGGATGTTTCCGGTGACATGATCTTCCAAACCACTGTGCGCCCTATAGCAGCTAGCACAAGGAAAACCTCCCCAGACCGTTCTGTTGTTCAGGGAAAGTAGACCAAATGCGCCACTGGTTGGGGAAGGACAAACTCCAATTCCCTAACAATGTCTTATGTGTCTACATTATATGATATGCATTGATATAACACGATGGATCAATATTGTGAGGGAGCATCACCCTTCTCTGCTTGAATCCGCCATGGGATACCGGAGTCCAAGTGTACCAACCAACCAACGACATCGACTCAAAGCGGCGCTGCGCGTCTCGGACATCTTCGGACGGAGAGCTCGTCGTTTTTCGGTCTGCGATACCGGATCGGACCTGTGAAAAACTGTCCGACTCCCTGGAATCCTCATGGAGCCAATTCTCGGATTTACATCTGAAACAATTCTGACAATTCCTCGGAAGGCCGATGATGATTCCAGGCAGTGTAAGCTTTATAGATTTTTTTTCAGAAGTCCCAATTCCAATCCACTTTGTTGCAAACATCTGAAGTACTTCGGAGTCGTTGATTGATCCGCTTCTTCCAGTGAGCGCAGGCAGCAGGCCGGATTCAGCCTCCTTTGGCTCGTGGGTAGGGTTTAGCCACCACTGTTGACATGTTGTGAGTAAAGACCTTGAATGACCAAATTTCACATATCTCAAATACCAACTGCCCCATCTAGCCGATCAGGGTTTCACTCATGTCAATGTAAAGCCCCGTTTTGTGACCGCCCTGGATTTACCTGGCGCTAAAGGCTCCACTGCCACGTCATCACCACCTGTGAAACATGTTAGACTATTCTATGATACTAGGCGGGAAAAAATAACAATAATAACGAACACATATCAACACTAACCCAACATAAGCCTGCCTCTACCAGGAATCATTTCAATATAAACTTGCAAGACCCATTTGGAGCCTACTAGAACCTTCAATTAGACCTATACTCCCAAATGCAAAACAAAACTCCCCTCCCCAATTCACCCTCAACCCCCCCACACCGCAGCGCCGACCAAAACGCCTTTGCCACGCTCCCCGCCTTTGCCACGTGAGCGCCGTCACGGCTGCCGCGATGCCGATCGCCGCGGCCGAGGCGAAGTCCACGTGCGCTCCATGCGGCGCGGCCTCCGCCTGGCTGGGCGAAGATCGGCGGAGGCGTCCGTGGTTTTGGGTGGGGGGGAGCGGAGAAAGTGAATGAACGCGACCAAACGAAAATGATCCACTCACTTCGAGGAACTAAAGACATCTAAAGACCATCTTGAGGAAGGATGCAACTAGTCTTAGGGGCCTCTCATGTGGAAAGAAGAGAGATACAGTCCAAACACAGCGAACTCCATGTAGAACACCTCGTGCTAATACTGTACTGATGCTCTACCAAAATTCGAAGCATCCAAGATGGGTCCAAGGATTTGCGGTGGTTGAGGGTGGTTTAAGGTTAGGACAAAGTTAGAAGGAACAAGCAACCACCAAAGGTTCCAGCCCGCCCATCTATTTGCTTAAAATTATTGATGGTTGGAATCTTTGACTTGGCTTCAGGCAAGCCATCCCATCCTCCATGGCCACACGACACCAGTTGCCTGAGCCTGCGTAGACGGCACGTGCTGCCCGGTCGCGTGGGGCGCGGGCAGCTGATCAGCTAGGTGGAGACGAACCACGCCTGTCGAGGCAGGAGTAGGGCGGGGCCCTGTCCTGTTTGTTGCTAGGATCTCAGAATCGAAGGGCCTGATTGCCTGGATTTGCTTAGAGAACCGGGAAGCGAATCCTCAAAGGGGATTCACCCAGTTCGGGAAGGTTTATCCAACATCCCAAGCAAAACTAGGAGTTTGAGCTGCAAAAAAATCTCCAACACGAGTGTTGATGCAACTTGACAGGCTTGACAGGTGAAATCATGGAAACATGTTTCCCCACCTGTCAGGTGAGGGTTGTGAGATTTTATGTCAGCTGTCTTGCTCCTACTCCGCCTCCTCTTCCTAAGACCCTCCGTGGGGCCCATCAGAACGAAACAGCGTGGGGCTCACGGTAAAAAGCCATACCTTTCTGAGGTGAACCCCCACCGTCCCATCGTCTTGTCTTGGCTTTTTGGGGATGTGGAAGGCTTAGCCGGGGATCTGGCAAAAGGACTAAGGAGTGAGTGTACACATTTGACAATGCCATAATACAACTTGTGCACTACAATGGTGGTTGGAATGAACAACCTTGAGAAAAAAAACAAAAGAAACTGTGTTTGGAATGGACAATGCAAATGTGATTCCTCACATAAATAATTAGTACAAATTGGAATGGACAAGCATGTTTGGGAATGTTATTCCTTCCAGGGATATTGGTAAACAGACTCACCTCGCATGTAAATGGACTATTTGTATTAACACTCTGAACAAAAAGTCTGTTTGTAGCAACTCTACTACCACCAAACTGTAACAGTCTAGCAGCTCCATCTCCATTCCAAAGGTTCCTACCTCCAATAGGCTCAGCCTCCCGCTCCGTGCGCTTTTCTTCGTTTCGGATGGCGCCTCCGTCCATCGGAGGCTGCGGCACTGGCGAGGGCGAGACCTGCGGTGCTTCGACCCGTCGGGAGGACCGGTCCACCGACCGGACTTGGTCCGCCATCCCGAAGAAGGTGGATCCGGGATCAAAGAGACAGAGCTGAAGGCACTCACAGAAGTTTGAACCATTCCTCATCTGAAACATTCTGACACGGTATATAATACTGTGCATGGTCAAAAGAAAACAAAAACACATCATAAAACGGCTATAGAACCTGGGAGGTTCCGTACTCCCCGAATACTCCAAGATACAGTTACCATAAGGATCATAAACAATCTACAATGTAGATTACAATCGAATGAGGCATCGGCAAACTTGAAACACTACACTCCCTGGAATGATCAAGGTCACATGGGGTTCACCACCTGGTTAGGATTCAGAACTCTCGCGGTGTCATCAAAGTAAGCATGATGATTCCACAAAGATATCCAGATATCCACGTATTCTTTGGGAAGAAGCTCAGTTGGCGAAGCTTTCCCTCCTAAAGTGCCAAATCCTCGACATCGAAACGTCACATCTCACCTGTGGTAGAGCAGAACCCACCGTCTCCGGTCGAGGGGGCCTCGGTGCTCCGCCCAGGAACTCCGATCTGCCGTGCCAAAACAGCCAGGTCTGCACCATTCCTTTTCTCTTCACCATGCTTGGTCAAGCACCGTCCTAACGACCCAACGAATGAATGAAGACATGAAGCATGATAAAGCGTGATCGGTGATAAAGCCAACTTTTGCAACCTGAAAAAACATGGATCCAGCAGTTCATTGTTCGTGGGCAAATGTTAGGGAGAACCCGCTTCACCCGCTGGAAGAAGGAAAATAGAGCACGACTCATGGGTGGAGGGGGTTCCCTATTGAAAAAACAAACCCATGTCTTGATCTTCTCACTTTAGCATCTTGTCTAATCGAACTGGCAGGTGCACCACTCTTTCTTTTTCCCAACAGGCAGATTTTGTATTTAAAGTGCACGCTGAGCACTTGAGTTGAGCATGGTCGGTCGAGCTGTTTTCCTTTTGCACCGCAACTCGATCCACTCAAGATGGGTGGGCATTGCTGCTAAAATAGGCACGGCCGTGGGACGCGTCGCGTTCCGTCTTTGCTTCGTACGTCCCGGACTTCGTGCGCCGGGCCCGCTACTTCGACATTGGTAGCGGAGCCCCAGATTTGGGGCTCCCGCATCCTTTGCGCCCTCACGAACGGGGTTCTGAATAAGCCCATCGTCACCTACCCACTGCCGAGCTCTACTGTTTCCCCGTGGCTTAGCTCTTTGGCTGTGGTTCCACTTTTTGTTGAAGATTTGGTACGATGGCATCAGCTTCCACCGCCGCGAAGGATGGTGACACGCTCAGCCTGCGCGACTCCTATGTCCCTCTGTTCTCGAACCAGCCCTCGGACTACCGTGAGTACCGAAAGAGATTGAACCTGTATCACAAGAAGATGGTCATCAGCAAGAGGACTGGTGAGTCGGTGCTCAACATCATCGGCAGTTTCTCCGGGGTGACCTGGAAGTTGTTCGAGGACTTCCCCATCGAAGATGTGGAGAAGGGCGACGCCTTTAGCAAGATCCTCGAGAAGTTGGACAAGAACTTTGAGTATGACGACAGGGTCCTTCTTCCAAATGACTTCGAGGAATACTTCAACTTGCTTCAGAGGAAGCCGCAGCAGAGCCTTTTGGCCTATGTCACGGAGTATGACACGGCCTACCGCAAGCTCATGTCTCACAACGTCTCCCTTCCTGGACAAGTTTAAGGGTGGCACCTGCTTCGAAGAGCAGGCCTGACACGGGAGCAACGCCAAATGGTGACCTTGAAAGCTCCGACCCTTGAGAAACAGAATGTCATCGAAGCCCTCTACCTCCTCTACGGCCAAGACTATAAAGCGGGAGGCTGGAACCATGATCGAGATCGCAAACTGTCCCGCTGGAAAGGCAGAGGCTACGCCGCCTTCGATGAAGATGATGGTCAATGGCCTGTTGAGGCATCTTGGAATGATGAAGGTGCCTACTATGAGGCTGATGAATGGGCTGTTGACGACTACATGCCGGCCACTATGGTGAAGAAGAGCCATATGATGAGTATGGTGAACCAACTGATGAACCCCATGAACTCGCTGAACAATATGATCATGCCTATGCGACCTACCTGGACGCCCGGCGGAGGTTCCAACAGTTGAAACTGGCTCGAGGTTATCTTCCAGTTGTGGCCCTCACCGATGGCAACAACGCCACGCCAGCTGCTGCAGTCGCTTCCTCACCGAAACGAAAAGATCGTAAGGGCAAAGGAAAGTCCAAGAACAAGCACAAGGGCTATGGCAAGAACATCGTGCGCTTCTCCTCAAGTGGTGGCAAGGCTGCTGATCCAAAGGGCCGAGCTCAGGCCACGACATGCCTTCGCTGTGGCCAACCTGGTCATTGGGCTGCACAATGCCCTCAGTCAGCACGGTCCTCATCATCGCCCAACAAACGACCGGCTCCTTCGACAACCACTACCGAAGGAATGGCTGTACATGCCGAGAAGGCCCTGGTCCTGTTCCAAGATGAACATGGTGAAGAACGCCCTGATGCTACGATGTTGGACCCAGGTGCTTCAGCTTTCCTCAGCGGCTATGGACCGTTCAAGCGCTACCTGGACCACTTGAGTTCATTGAACTACCCGGTCAACACCATCCGGTTTGCCCGCTGTGACAGGCAGTTCCACTTCGGCGGTGACGCCTCTTCTCAAGCTCGCTGGACGGTGGACCTTCCCGTGATGCTGGACGACCGCTTCGGCACCATCCAGTGCTATTTGGTTCCTGGCAACACTCCCATGCTGATGGGAAGACCGGTGATTGAAGCTCTCCAGATGGGCATAGACTTCAGTCAGAAGCAGATCCGCTTCGGCAACTCGCCATGGCATCCAGTTCTGGTCGGCAAGCATGGTGAGTACCTTCTCAGCCTCACCAACGGCATGGAGCATGTTCCTGACCCCACCAAGTCCTTGTTCGCCCTGCAGATTGCAGCAGAGGTTCCGGGCAGTCACTTGCATCTGAGCGACTTCAACGACTTGGAGCACATCTTTACAGCGAATGACCAGATCCTTGCCGACAATGGCCTTGAGCTTCCTGTCTTGCACCGGCACACCCTTCGCACTATGGAGGTTCAGTTGACCACCACCGTGAATGCCACTGAGGCCTACATCACCAGTGAACTACATCCAACTTCAACAGCAAATCAGAGAGTGCTGTGGGAAGTCTACTGTGGCAAAGCTCGAACCGGCCACCTCGCCGAAGAGATGGGCATGAAAGTCGAGCGCTTCTCTTTGGAAACTGGCTGGGATTTCAACCTGAAGCATCACCAAGCTCAGTTCTTGCAACGCATGGACGCTGAAGAGCCTGATGAAGTTCTACTTGCCCCTGAATGCAAAGTTTGGTCTCGCATGCAAACCCTGGCTTGCAGGACAGCCGCACAGCAAGAAGCTCTTGTGGCCCGTCGTGAACATCACCATCGACGGCATCTCACCTTTGCAAAGAAAGTGTTCTTGAAACAGGTCAGTCATGGACGTCATGCACACCTGGAACAACCACGTCACGCTCTGGGCTGGCACACCCAAGCATTGAAAGCACTACCTGGCTACAACGCCGACTTTGACCAATGTCGCTATGGAGCTATGTGCATGGACGTGGACGGACAATGGAGGCCAGTGCAGAAGAGCACCAGGATGTTGACCACCAAGAAGTCCGTTCTGGCTGCCCTGCACTTGAAGTGTGAGCAGGATCACCAACATTGTCCACTTGAAGGAGCTGCACTTGGCTATGGGCCTCGCACGACCTATCTCGAGGACTACCAGCCTGCTTTCGCTGCCACATTGGCTGCAGCGATTGCTCAACCTGAGCCTGCACAACTATGGGATTCTGCCTTTGTGGTTGATGCCTCCGAGAAGAAGGCCACAGGACATCTCTTGAAGTTGCAGTCGGAACATCGACAGGATGCCCTTCGTACTGTCCAACGGCTGCATCGCAATTTGGGCCATCCAGCACCTGAGGCCTTAGCTGACTTGTTGTTGGCTCGTGGAGCTCACTCCTCCGTGGTATCTGCCGCCAAGGAGTACAAGTGCGTTGCTTGCCTCAAGCACAAGAAGCCGAACCAGGTGGCTCCATCCTCAATGCCGCAACAGCGAAGTTTCAATGAGGCCATCCAAGCCGACGTCTTCTACCTCAAGCCCGCTGACCGGAAGTATGCAGTACTCAGCATTGTTGATGTTGGCACCAAGTACATGGCAGCCTGCTGGGTTCCTGAGGAGACATCCGACTCCTACATCAAGGCATTGGAGAAGACCTGGGTCAGGCACTTCGGGCCACCTCGCATCCTCATCACGGACGAGGGACGTCCTTGGCTTGGAGGACCCTTCGAAAACTGGACCAGTGCACTTGGCATTGATCATCAAGTGGCCCCGGGTGAAGCTCATGAACGATTGGCTTTGGTCGAAAGGAGACATGCCGTCATCCGAAGAGCCTGTGAGGTTTACATGACCGACCGCAGGATGACCGACCACCACGGCATCAAAGAGTCCCTGAACTATGTCATCCCGCAACAGAATGCCACTCCATCAGTGGCTGGCTTCACCCCGAGTCAATGGGTACTTGGCTATCAGCCAGAGCTGTCACACCTCCTCGATTCCAACCTCAACGCTGCTCAGCTCGCCGGCAACAATCACTCCTTCGAGCAGAACCTGGAGCGTCGAACTGCTGCCAAACTGGCATTGACCAGTGCTGATGCCGACTCCAAACTTCGTCGAGCTCTGAGCAGAAAGTACCAGGGTCAGAATCGTGTCTTCCGCCTTGGCGAACGCGTGTGGTTCTGGCGAGATGCCCGACAAGGAGCATTGAACAAGATTCGATGGCTTGGTCCTGCACATGTTGTGCTTCCTGAAGAAGATCCTGATGCCGCCACTGATGCCGCCAAGATCAAGACCTACTGGTTGGCATACAAGAGTCAATTGGTCCGTGCTGCACCGCACCATGTCCGTGGCGACATCCTTGGTCCTCAACATGTCCTGGACGACATGCAAGCCGCCTTGAACACCGTCAGGCAGCTCAAGTCTCGCGGAGTCACCCGCTACTATGATCTCCGTAGATCCAACCGTCAACAGCTGGATGATGTGGAGGAAGATGAACAGCAAGATGATCTCAATGGACCTCTTCACGATGAAGATGATGAACCACCACGACACCGGCTACGACTTGAGATCCCGGACAACAATGGTCCGAACACACATGCTGAAGAGCCACTGGCACCAGAAATTGAAGCTGAGGATTACACTCCTACCTCACCTGCCGACACCGGGTATGCACCGACATCCCCTCAGCAAACACCAGCAGTGCCAAGACCACCAGAAATGCCCCAGGCACCTCAAACACTGACAGCACCCCTGTCTCCCGGAGCCGTTACCACTAGATCTCGCTCAAGAGCCCCAACGATTGTCGAGCCAAGCGAGGAACCCACGATTCCCTCTGGACGACAGTCCCCAATGGCCGAACCGGCACCTGAGACCCCGGCTCCAATTCCAAGACCAACCTTGGACCCTGACACGGCATCCCTCTATGAGACAGTTGATGCTGAGACCTTCAACCAGAGAAGAGACAGGTTCAACCGACAAGAAACCTTGTCCTTCCGCCCAGTCCGACACCAGCGAGCACCAGGTCCACAACCGTATGATCCTGATCCACTACCTCGAACGGACACAGCAACATCGCCTACTGGCGAAGCAGCAACTGCTGAGAGAGATCCCGAAGTCACAGCTGCAGAACGAGCACCAGAGCATACCCTCCTGAACCATGCCTTTCAGGTCAATGAGCTCGAAGCCCAAGGCCTACCTCAAGGCTGGCTGTTCCAGGATGGCTACTTCATCTTGGACAAACGTCCCCGGGAGTTCTGGGAGATCAAAGCTGGATGCATGATCAGGCATCATCTGGTACCACGACGCCACAAGCTTTGTCTTCACGATCTTCCCAAAGATGCTCCATACAGCCAAAACCAACTGGACAACATCCGGGTGACAGTGATGTACGACCGCAATGGCAGGAGCATTCAACAGACAGATGATGGCTCAGACAGCACGCCTTCTGAACGTGCATGGACTGGACTCACCATCTACCAGATCAAGGGTGACCTTCGGCGTGAACTGGCTATGTATGTCAAAGCACCTCTTCAAGGAGCACGTCAATTGGGCAAGCTGGCTAAGCAACGGCACACCAAGACCTTTAAGAAGGACAAGAACAAAAGCAACTTGTCGGAGCGCCACATGACTCCAGACGACAGGGCACAGTTCAAAGCCGCCAAGGTCAAAGAACTTCAGAGCTTCTTCGACAACCAGGTCTGGCAGTTTGAAACCACTCGTGAAGCTGAGCCGAGCCGCACCCTGACAAGTCGGATGCTGCTGAAATGGTCCAAGCATCCTGATGGCTCTCCTCGAGCCAAGGCTCGCCTGATCGTCAGAGGATTTCAAGATCCTGACGCCTGGGAAGGCACTGTGCCTACCTCATCTCCGACCACTACCAGACTGTCGAGGTCTATGCTTCTCAGCCTGGCTGCAACTATGTCATGGCCTATCTGGACCTCAGACATTGCCACGGCCTTTCTTCAGGGCAAGCCACAGACCCGAAAGCTGTGGGTACAACTTCCCAACGAATGCCTGGAGCTTCTGGGAGCCTCGCCTGAGACGAGAATGCTCTTGTTGAAGCCGTGCTACGGCCAGATTGATGCACCTCGAGCCTGGTACATGGCTGCAGTTGACAAGCTGAAGGGCATGGGATTGAAACAACACCCCCTGGACCCTTGCTGTTTTTTGATGTACGAAGGCGACCTCAACCCTGAGTATGATGCCACTGCCACCAACGAGAACCTGCTTGGAGCCCACGGCCTGTGTGGCCTTGTGATCATGCATGTTGATGACATGTTGGGCTGCGGTTCACCTACATCCACTTGCTATGCGGAAACCATCGCAAAGCTCAAGAACTCGTTTTCCTTCCGGGAGTGGAAGACTGGTGATGATGGAAAGCCCCTCACGTACTGTGGCTGCGACATCCACATCGACTCCAGCGGCAGCTACAAGCTCAGCCAAACAAGCTATATGAGCAAGGTCAAGCCCATCACCTTTGACCGAAAACGAGATCTCACGGATGCCTTGAACCAGCGTGAACTCACGCAGCTGCGTGGTTTGCTGGGATCCTTGCAATGGCCAGCTGTCCAATCGAGTCCTCACCTACAGAGCAGCACCTCCCTGTTGAGCGGACATGTCACAAAAGCTTGCTTGCAAACAGTGTCCGACACCAACCGCTTGCTGCGCTTTGCCAAGGAACATGCTGATGTTGGCCTCCACTACGAGCACCTTGGAACAGTTGATGAGTTGAGCATGGTATGTTTCTTTGATGCTGCATTCGCCGCTCGAAGCGACGGAGCGTCTCAAGCTGGCTACATCATCCTGCTCCTCAACAAGAAACTGTTGGCAACAGATGGTCCTGAAGGGGCCTACCACGTGTTGGACTGGCGTTCGATGAAGACGCCACGGGTCGCAAGATCCTCCTTGGCTGCCGAAGCTCAGAGCGGTGGGCAAGCATGTGATGCTTTGGAGCATGCTAGCATCTACTGGAGCCTACTTGTAGATCCACAACAAGGTCTGAAGCGGACCCTCGATGCTCCTTCGATGCTGGCCCCGGTGATGATCACCGATGCAAAAGCATTGTTCGACTCCTACCACAGAGAGGGAGTTTCCAGCTCGGTAGTCGACAAGAGAGTCTCCCTGGAGATCAAGGTCATGAAGGACAGGCTGACATCCTTGGGCGGCACCTTGAGATGGATGTCATCGGAGAGGCAGTTTGCAGATGGCCTCACCAAAGAGTCAGCTCGCCTGTTGTTAGCTCAACGTCTTCGGCATGGTCGCTTGAAGTTGGTTTGGGACCCAACCTACAAGGCCGCCAAGAAAAAGACGAAAGATGAGCTGCTTCAGAGTCGCATGGAAAGTGTTCATGAACATGTTCAACCACCTGCCGCCCCAACAGCAGAGAACGAAGATTCAGAGCACACTCCAGCTGGCAACAAGCTCGCCATCGAGGAGATTGAAATGGATGAGCCCGTGTCTTGGTATGAGCAGGCCACTCCGAATGTCCTCATGGCAAAGACCGACAACCAGCTGACCTATGTGTACCGTAGGTCCTGCCATGTCGCCTGCCGCCGCATGGACAAGGTCTTCACCTGTCGCTCGAAGAACCTCATTTGTTGGTTGTGGTTGATTTTCTTGTTGCCCCTCCTGGCCTCCGGACATGAAGTTGAAATGGAAAAGAAAGAAGAAGCTGATGTTTTTGGCATTGCACTTTGCACCTTTTCCTGCATGGTCCTGAGCTTTGTTTACCTCATGGGACGATGGTCCAAAGAAGTGCGTTCACCTCCGCACCTCGCAACAGCCGATGCAGAAGTCCAGAAAGACGAGCCCGTAGTGCACAGCCGACTACGGGAAGAGCTCACGAAAGCCAAGGAAGAAGCTGCACTTTGGCGCGAGCGCGCCGTTGAATATCGTAGCTCTGCCTTCGAGAGTCGAGCGTCCATCGACCTGATCATGGCCGAACAACATGGCACCGAAAGCCTGCTGAGTGAAGCCTCCAACCTCCTGAGACAAGCACTTCGGCAGATGGACGAGCATTCGAACGAATGCCCCTTTTACCAGCAGATCTGGGTCACAAGACATGGCTACCGCTGGCACAAGACCCGACACTGCACATCCCTCGAAGGAAGAAGCACCCAGAACCAGCAGCTAATTCCAGCTTGCAATCTGTGTAGCTTGCGCATCCTTCCGCCTGACCTGGTGGAACAGAACCTTGATGCATCTTTAAGAACCTTGGTTCTGGCCTGGCTCGACCGGCATGAAAGCCGATAGCGCTCCTCCTGTGTAAAGTGCACGCTGAGCACTTGAGTTGAGCATGGTCGGTCGAGCTGTTTTCCTTTTGCACCGCAACTCGATCCACTCAAGATGGGTGGGCATTGCTGCTAAAATAGGCACGGCCGTGGGACGCGTCGCGTTCCGTCTTTGCTTCGTACGTCCCGGACTTCGTGCGCCGGGCCCGCTACTTTGACAAAACATATTTAAACACAAATCCTGCAACGGGCATCAACCGGCTCTTCATCCTGATTTCAATGCAGTGACCATCCCCGAGAGAAAGACAGCTCAGCATCTTCCTAATTTCATCCGTCTCTCCACATCCGAATCGGACAAAGAAACATCCAGTGCATCTCCTCACTGCGTGTTCTCGCCGATCCGTTTCAGCCACCGACTCGCTTTGACCCGTGCGGCCCGAGTGGCGACTTCGGTGGAGGTCCGGCGTGGCGAGGTAGCGACTCACCTCGCGTGTGGGCGCGGCGTGGAGGTGAGGTTTCGCTCGTCGGACCCGGATCTGCCGTGGACATCTGTCGTGAGAGATCTGTGATGTGGATGAGATCACATCCACACATGGCATGGATCTATATTCTTGTGTATAAGACATATAATTCATGTATGATCATTAATGTATGATCAATTAATTATATAGGGCTAGGTATCTTGCAATCCTCACATTCCTTCCCTACCACGAGCTTTGGAAAATCTCTACCTGCCATCCTGGCTGCCTTCCTCCGTGCCCAGCCTCCAAGGAACCTGGGCAGCACACTCGGTCAAGCTGGCCCCGCTGTCTAAGAGGGTGCGGGGAAACTATGAACAGGTTCAATCCTTTTCCGTGCTTCTTTTGGTCCCGTCTCATATTCCAAGAAGGAAGACATGCCGTGTCCAATTCAGCATCTTTATTGATGGAAATAGGGTCAGTCCTGAATCCTCCGGGACAAGAAGGATATAATGCCAAGGACTCTCTATTTCAAGAGCGCACAAATAGTACACAAATCCAAAAACAGGTCGCTAGCGATTCAAAAACCCAAAGCTCAAAGAACTTAGATTTTGCTATTGGGCATCATACAAATTTAATCAAGTAGGATCTGACTGAGATTCTCACACAAAAGTTTTCAGCAACTTGACCCTCCGGCCACCATCATCTCAATTAACCATCATCTGAAAGCAAACGGAAAGCCTGGCCATCGGCCTGTATCCTGATTCACAAAACGCGGCCCCCCCCCAACCATCTGGCCCTTTTGGTCTTGCAAAATCTCAAACGCACACATACCCTAGGCCTCTGGTCGTACCTTCGTTTCGTTTCGGTGGGATAGAAACTGTGGCCCCCAGCGAACGGTTCATGGCTCCTGGCCGGTCGAAACGACCACCGTCCGAACTGTCCGGACTCACCATTCATTGCGGATAGGATGTGCGATGTAACAAACGGACTGTCCGGACTCAACTTCACCCTGAAAGATTCACATGAAAACCTGAAAACCACTGAGTTGTAGAGGAAAATCGTCTTCCAAAGGTTCATTTTGCATGTTCTTTGTTTATCTTCCTGGGTGTAAACCCTGATAATTCATGCAAACCCGCCACAAAGTCACGCTGTGCGACCTGCAAAATCCTTTTGACCACCCTGTGTCAGCATGTTCTTCGTCGGCATGGTGTTCAGAGTTCTTTATCAAATATGGTTCCTTTTCAAGGAAGACCAATGAGTCAAACAACCAGTGACTTGAATCAATAGACCGGCTGTTGTTTTTGGGACGGGGCTGCTGTTGCCTATACCGCCCCCATGAATCTACCCAGTCAACGTGTTGGTTTAAGGGAAAATCTAGTCTTCATCCCAAAAGACGCCTTGGGCTGCCCATCATTGCATGGAAAGGGCATTGATCAACCATATCTATAGGGTTTGTGGAACTCATTTCAATCCCCTTTTCTTGGTGGATGATGAGCAACAGTTCATGCAGGTACGCCTGGACCTGACGGAAGAATAAAGACCTGTAGTCACTATAATTTCAATAATGTCGGTGTCGGATCACTCAACGGCCTGCCCTCTCTTTAAGCTCAAATCTAAACGATGAGATGATGACAAGATTAGGAAAGATTGGGATTGGGATGAATAGGCAAGAGATGAAGAGATTGGAAGAGAAGATTATTTCTTTAATTGGGATAATTAGGAACAGAATGAGGATTGCAGGATGAAAGAGATGGAAGACAAGATGGAGGCCAAAGGGTGGGCTTGATTAATAGGGGGAGGGGGCCTGTGTGAGGGGTACCCTTTGTGAGCTTGAACACCTTAAGATTTTGATAGGGTTTTAATAAGGGAAAATGAAATAACTTTGCTAGTGAGTCTTTTTTTGTGTTTTAACAGGGAGGGGTGGATCAGAAGATCAGTTTCACCATGGACCAGAAGATAATAGATACTAGCCAAAAAGAAAATAAATAACAAAGAATTCTAATAGTAAACTATATTTCTCGTTAATACTAGGTAAGCATTATCCTACTGTAAAAACAATGCAAGTCCTTAATGAACAACTTCCAAACTGAGCAAAACCCAGTCTTGGCATCGACGCCGAATCGGGATACGCACCTGGCTGCACAGGACCCTCGGAAGAGGACCTGGTACGGCGCGATGCGGAGCGGCGCGAGCGGTCGCGGCGCGAGCGGTCGCGCGTGCAAAAGTACGGTGGTTTGGTTGGAGACCCCCGGCAGCCAGGAGGAATTGTGTGATGATGCACGCAACATGTCGTCAGGGAGTCTGAAAGTCTGTGGTCATAGGCGAAAATCATATGCCACAGCGTTGCTGAGCAAAGCCTCTGTGCTGGGCAAAAGCAATATCACGATGATCTCCATGGCTTTGTCATGAGTGGGTACCAGACAGTCAGGATAAGCCGGGTTTGCTTCTATGCATACAAAAGTACAAATAGCTAAGCTATTAGCTATTAGCTATGAGACAGTCAAACAATGTCAACCATGTGGATGCAAAGACCATCTTCTGGAATTCGTTTGTAATGGAACCATGTTCTTGTAACAGGTTCGCATGTAAAAAATGACACGTTCGCCCTCGACAGCAAGGCTCAAGGCTCTGCGCTACATGTCACATGCTCTGTTAGTTGGCACCCCACCAGAAGGTACCCTCTTCAAGTTCACTAGCTTGATGAATTTGTTGGTGAGACCAACCAAGCAACCGCTCAAATAGCTGCTCTATGAAAGGCCCAGTCTGGACATCCCTCGAGACCCGTGTGTGGAGTTCTAAAAACACATCCATGACGAAATCATCACTACTGTTTCTGGTTTAGCATTCCCTAGGCTTCCTGGCCCACCATTGAGATACTGTAATGGTGTGTCGATGGTTTTGACTGAGCAAGCATTGCATTACTATAAGGATGTTACACTACAGTACAGCGTCAATCCTGTACTTTAATGATCTTGGCAAGCTAGGGTACTAAGTGCTTCAAGGACGGATGGTTGGGCCCTGAAACAATCAAGGATGAACTGCGGAGCTACGCCATAGCTACGCCCTACACTGTGTTCATCGTTGTAAATGGATCTTCTGCTGAGTTAGTGGATGTCAGATTGAGCAAACATGTGGGAAGATTCTCGCGGAAATCTGGGTTGGTACTCTGTAGACTCTAGATTGCTTTAGCCAAGCTTTAACAAAAACAAACAGGAATCCTGTCACCCAAAACACAAAAACAACTCATCATCAAGTGACCCCTAGCAGTGCCTGGCAAAAAGAAGCCTCTGGAACAATCTGGCGATCTTCCACGTGTGTACGGGCAATTGCCCACAACAAATTTCAACAAACCTTTACACTATATTTATATATCACAATCATTGAGAACATAAACCAAATACTGGTGCCAATGTAATTAGGTTGCAAACCAACAGAATGACCACCATCCACCCCTCTCATCTGTCCGCCTTCTTCAGTTCCCAACCTGCCTGGGCTCCTCATGTCCGGCATCGTACTCGTGCAAGCGACGACGCCTGGTGATCGGGCTCTGAGGTGCTGACGATGATAGTTGGAGGCCATCGCTACTAGGTTGGAGGACATCAAAGAGAGAGAGAGAGAGAGAGAGCCCCGGGAGAAAAGCTGCGCTTGCTTGCTAACACATCGTATGACTTGAAGAGCGGAAGTCGTAGACCCTGGACAAATGAAAGATGAGACATAGATACATGGTTCTGTCTAGTCTAGAGTCTAGAGGTTGTATGAATTGTTCATTGATCCACTCAACACACAGAAAAACAAAACACAACTATATAAGCACGACGTAGTTGAAGCAAATTATATAGTGCAGAAACCACTCAGAGTTTCAAAGCCAAACGATGCTAAAAGATCCCAAAGAAAACAAACAAAAACTAAGAACACTCACTGCAACTTGATGCAACTATGAACTATGCACAACAAATACAATCCTACAATCCAATTGTCCTTCTACATTCCAAATAAGCCAACAAACATGCCCCAAATGGAGAGGCATCAGAAAGGTTTGTACCACATAAGCAGTGATGGCAGCATGAACGAGGATACACTGTTGAATTCAACATTCCCCTCTTTCAAAAAGTCATTCCTCTACGACCTCACATCCAGTGATGGAGACCTGCCGAAATGCAAAAGTATGAATGGTGAGAACCAAAACATGCCGCGTGCACACCCAGCCTTTTCAGTTTCCATTGTGACACATTCAAGAAGCGGGTTCAATTGGCCACATCTTGCTGCCAGTTCAAAGCTGAGGAGCCTCTGTCTCTGGCTTCTCGCTTCGTTTCGCACCAAGATCGATTTTGGCAAGGCCCTTGGTCACCTCGTCCACTTCTGGCACTTCATCAAGGAAGACGGACAATGGAGGGAGCGCCCGCATCAAAGAGCTTCCACCACGGAAAGGAAAAAGCTTCATATACTCACGGACATCACCATGACATTCCTTGGCCAAGCGAGTCACATAGTCTTTTAGATCCAGCAAGGTATCATCTTCTTTGCCAAGTTCTGCTGGTCCAAAGGTGGGCACCACCAGTCCGTTGGCCATGTGTTCTCGAAGCTTGGTGACTTCATTGTCTAAATTGACCGTATTGCACATGTCAAACTTCACACCCCGAGCTGCACACGCCCGGCCGCTCCAGATCCTTGGAAGGCTTCGCTTGGATTTGTATGGCCCTGCATCGGGATCAGGCACAGAGAAGTCATCACCTGCGAAGATTGCGAAGAGGTTCTTCTGCAAAGAACGAAGTCCAAGCCTATCAAAGAGCATCATCACCTGACGAGAGTAAACAAAAACAGTGAGGTTTGCCCGTCCTTTATGTAGTATGTAGTCATGGGCTGATATACAGCAACTTGTATGATGTTGACTGAAGTTTGCAGGCTTATCTGTGATTCGCCATATTCACCCTACTATCAAAAACAAAAATGAGCTATGAATGACTGCCTGCGGCGCCGCATTCTGCATCTGCCTGCTGGTGTAGATGGCAAAAGCAATCTTTGATTGTGGCTTCAGCATGGCTTCCAAGAATTCCGCCGCATGTGGTCGGATCCAGAAGCGGTTGTTCTTGTCTTTGAAGTCCGGCAGGCCAGCTCGTTGCCCTGGTCGACCATCCTTGCCATGCTTCCCAAGCTTGCAAAGCAAGCTCCCATTCATGTCCATCAAAATCAAAACGCGAGCTGTGCGCTCGAGCCTAAGATGGATCTCATCGTACACACGGCGGCTCCTCTGATCCTGAAGGGTCTCCATCATTTGCTGGAAATGCTGAAACTTCTCAGTCCATTTCTCGTTCTCCTCCTTTGCATGTTTGTCGGGATGGTACTCCAAAGCCTTCTTTCTCAGCACCTTTTTCAACTCTGTCTGATCAATGTCGGGTTCCACTCCAAGCTCTTCATAGAAGGTTGCCATAGCCCCCTTTTACATCCTCTCAATCAAACTGTGGCTCAAAAGCTTGATGCTGCTTGAGGTGAGAAGCTCTGCCAAGGAGAAGTGTCAAACATAACACCTGGATTGCCAAGAGCTTTTTGCGGCAACCTAGAGATTGTAGAGGGTTAAGGAGTTCCCAAGTGGATCCTTAAATTAAACAATTCTCCGTGAGCTTGCGCACCAGAATGGTATCCAACACATTGCAACCTGTAGTTGCATTGGAGTGTCTGAAGATTGAACTCGATATAAATCGATCTACTTTCCCAAACTTTCATGGCACCTCCAGGGTTCGGTTCCAAACGGTTCAGTTCCAGATCTTCCCACCCCGCTGCGCTGCTGTCCACTGGGTCGACCCAGGCCAATCTCCCAGTGCGCGGTCGAACTGACGCTTGGAAACCCGATCCTGGCGCAGAAACACATCTTTTGCTGACTCCGTGTCCACTGAGCTGACCCAGCTGGGCCGCCCGGGTTTCAACACAAGACACCCCTGGAACTACTACCCCTGGAATCTCCTGGATGGTAAAAAACACCAACAAGAGTGCACATGTCATGTCTCGTGGCCTCAGATCGGTTTTGACCACTTGGTACCAATTCAAAAGAAACAAACCAATGTTTTAAGCACTTCACGTCCAGGTGGACGGCCAGGTTTTTTTCCTGGCCGTCCCAACCGACTCCGAGACTCAAGGAGACTCTGCACCGAAGCCCCGTTTCGCCCCCGTTTCGCCCCCGGTGGCCGGCACCGTCCTTGGGATTCGGCGTACTCGGATCCGCCTTGGGATTCGGCGGGCGGACCGTCCGCGGGAGATGGCGCGGAGATGCGCGAGATGAGATGGTCCACCCGGATGTCTCAAAGTGCAGAAAATGGGACATGAGCCACTCATGAGCCGATAGAACCCGGTACTGTTCTTCTCATTTTCTGAGGTGAAACTCTAGCGGTCGAAACTACTGGAACTACTGAGTGGATGCTCAGGTGGTGACACGCAGAAACATGGACCTAATATGACCTAATGAAAACCGCTGATCACCCGTGACGGTGTTCGAACTACGTCTTGCTTGATTGTTTCATGTTGCACAAAAACCTGATCCACCGGTTTCAGCACGAAAACCACCGTTTCGCAGCCGGGAAAACAGATCCACCACCCTCAGAGTGGATCCCTGTCTGTTTATGGCGTGGGTCACTGTGATCCTCCACGTGACGCACGTCACGGGGTGTCAGTTCGTGGGGGTGTCGCCGCATGAGAGCGAGCTGACTCGTGGTCTCAGCTATCACTGATCCACCACGTAGGGTGAAAATCTTCAATCGAATACCTTGCCAGTGTTCTTTTTTCCCTGCTGCAAAGGGTTTAAGCATTGTTAACAAGTTATTGCTAGCAATAAGGGTCTAGGAGTACACCCTATAGGCACCGTGAAGGTGTGAACAAGAATGTGAACATGTAGACTCTGATTCATACACCCATGAAGAGATTGTTCAATCCAAATTCCAAAGTTAAGCTATTAATCAAGAGTCTACATGCACCAGTAAGACTTAGTACAGTACGTTGCCCCAGGATCCACCCCACCTTTGTCTCACCTGAGTGCCCTGCTGGCTCCCGTTGATGGAATGGCACCTGCGATGTGGCGCAACAGTTTCGAGCAGCTGCAGCTCTGGGGGTGTCCTACAAACCCAGCTGGAGTGGCTGGGGGAAGGCAGGATAAGATAGGATAAGTCCCTTTATGTTTCCAAGCAGCAACCTTCCGGACTATGCTGCTATCAACTGGGTTCTGTTATTCTGTTCATTTACTCCCATCAATTGCGGACAGAATCCTTGCTAAGCTTACTAGGTCTTAAAATGCCACTTGCGCGGTCTGATATTCACATGCATATGATATCCAGCAGATTCATTCGCCTGGGCCGATCACGGATTGCAGATCACATGGACCTGCGGTTCACGGCAGTCCAGCTGATCCATCCATCCACAGATCCACCAAACCTCAGCTTCTACGATTGGGCCCCACTGTAGCGACTGCCTACATCGTCATCGAACGCATCACCCTCGAAAAGAGCGCAGTGGAGGACCTAGCACATGCTGATCCGTGTCATCACGGAGAGCGCAGTGGCTGATCCGTTTCCCTTCCGTTCCCTCCTTCCACACCTCCACGTTCCCGTCTCCCGTCCCATCCCTCCTCCGCCACGTAGCGGCGGTATTCGGGTCGAGCCTACCAGGAGCGATCCGGATGAGGGAAGGGGGGTCTACCGGTCGCAGCTTTGCTTTCATGAGGACGTCAACAAGGGTATGCTTACTAAGGCTCAACCCCCCCTGAGTCTTCGGACAAATCGAAGTGGAACTAAAAACTAAACTGTTACTAGTAGCGATGCCCCTGCTACTAGTAGCTTCTTGTTCCTAGTTAGTAGTAATGCCAGGAGCTACTAGTAGCTTCGAGCTACTGAACCAAAATGATCCCTGAGAAGACGATGTTGCTGGACCAACAGAGGGTGAACTCTTCAGTTTAAGTGAAAGATCTGCCTGACCTCCTCCCCTCCCACCAGTGACTCATCGGACAGACATATGCCCTGAGGATGATCCCGATCGCCTTCAGAAACAAAAAACAGAAAAACACACGAAACGACCTGGTCTTGTAATGTCAAATCCTTAGTAAGACTTTCACAGGATTTGGGCTATTAATGGCGGGCCAGGAATCCTAGGATGATGATGAATGAGAGACCTTGAACTATCCCCTTGCCTTTCACAGTGAGGTGTCTGTCTAACCATTTTATAGATAACACATGGCAAACACAACCCTGCCAGGCGTACGATTTGGCAGTGTGGCTAGTCGTTGCTGGGTAGAGTGATCTCATAGCTAACCAGCGGCTGCGAGGTTTCATGATGTTTCAGCCATGGATTGGCTTCACCCATGGACATGAACAACAACGCCAATTGGGCTGCTTCTGGATCGAGACTCGTGATCGTCACCCACACAAAGACTCAAGAAGAACTCCCGATGGGGGCGCAAAGAGCTCCCTTTGTCTCAAGGCAACCACCTACAGCACTGGCAATCTCCCGAAAGGGATCCAATCTTCGATATGCTGCAATCTCTGGAAGCGGCTGTAGCTTGTCTTTGGAAAAGCCTGTCTCTGGAAGACTCCATAATTGACAACCTCTGTGGTATAAACGATTCTTGAAGGTATTGGAGCATTCTGAATTCTAACGTAAAGAACACAAAAAACAGGAGAACCCTCAGACTCTGAACGCCTATCCCGGCCGCAGAATCTCACGTCACTCCACCCCCACCTTGCCAATGGCGATCTGGCGCATCCGAGCTGCCTGACCGATGGATAGCTTGGGTGCGGGGGGATTCAACATCCAATTCGATCAGCAATTGGTTCAGGTCACAATGGGCCCTCTGAGTCCGGGCTGTTTTCCGAGTAGTTGTCCTCAGTAGTTGTCGACGGGTCCATAGAGTCTGTCTTCAGCGTCCGGTTTGGGTGACGGGTGACTTGCCGGCAAACATCTCCGACCCGAAGCATGGGTGCATCCTGCAGTCAACGATGGAACATGTGGAGCTTCCTCGCTAAAAACGAGCGAACACATGCTTTCTGGAAGCCGAAACGTCCATGCAGCGTCAAGGCAAGTGCCCAATCCATGTTCGAGCGCTGAGGGGCATAAAAGAAGCCGCTTCCAGGCAAATATTTTTCCTCAAATAGGAGTCCATTGACTTCCAAATCTCTTGTCCCTCTTCTTTGACTTGAATCTGTTTATCTGGTCACCCACTCAACAACACCCGATTCGACAGTGATACCAAGATCGTGTGGGAGAGGTCTGTATGCGTCAGGATGCATCAGGCATCTTTAAAGGTCTCCAATAGATATGACGCGACATTGAGCTACTGACGATATCAGCTAGTTATCTCCAATATGTAAATATATATATATATAATATATATATATATACCTAGCGCTTCCTGTCGGGGTGCCCAATGGAGACCTGTAGGTAGTGTGGAGATATCCATTTGTGATTTGTGACCCCTTGGAAGCAGCCGTTTTTTGTTATATATTATACATATACAGTAGGATCATCTTCCTGTACATTGGTCAGGTCACACGAACAACCCCGAGACCCACTAAGACATACTAAGACAACCAGGCCCTAGCTCGGGCGCTAGGATTGGCCATTCCAAAATAAAGAAAGACGGTACTTCACTCACGTTCCTCCAAAAAGCACGAGCACGGCAAAGAGGTTTGCATCCAAGGGTTCCTCGCTCGAATCGAACCAGAGCATGGAGCCAGTGGTGTGGAGCCGTACGGTCGATGTGTGGCGCCTCGCGACGCGCCCAAACCTCTTCTGAAGCAAATGCATCCTGCGATGAAACAGTGAGTGGCCGTGGTTGGGCTCTACAGCGAGTTTGCAACTGTGAGCCATGCAATGCATGGCTGTGAGTTTGGCTGTAGAACTGTGGTTGAACTTTGGCTGTGTTTTTTTCACCTTTTTGTTCGAGAAAATGCGTTGCAAGTGCTGTGAGATTGCTGCGTGGCAGCAACACCGGCGGCTGACTCGATCCCATCATCCGAGATCACTTCATATCACTTGTGCTTTTTTGGGGGTCCGATTTTCAGATCTGCAATGGGTGCCTCCCTTGGACAACCTTTTGCCAACGTCTTTAAAAACACACCAAACAATATAAAGAGACGGACGAGACAGTCTCTTTCGACGAAGAAGCCACTGCCTGACATTGCTTCACAGCCTATGGATCCACCCCCCTCGGGTCGAGCGTGCCGAGCCGCGCTGGCCGCCACTGCCCCGAGGACGCGATCCCATTGACTCCGACCAAAGCGATGAGATGGAGTCCATGGACTTTGTACCAGCTTCCGTTCGGGGTCCAACAGACTGGATATCTGCACACTAGCTGGTCTCCAGACAGGGCACCCGGACAGGAAGCGCTAGGTAGAGTCAAACAGGTCTTAGACTCTCCAAGTCCATCTTTAGACTCTTCGGGACGTGGAGTGGTGTCTGTTTCTGGCGTCGAAATCGACCGCACTGGTTGGGTCCAAAGCACCTTCGCACCTTCAGCACCTTCAGCTGGTGTCCAATCCCAGCAGTTGGTAGATCCATGGATCCAATACCCTTCTTCCTGTGGAGGTTGAGAGCTCTTCTTCAATGGTTTTAGGGTCCAAAGACCCTGTTCCCCGTTTTGGGGCAGGTCACGACCCATTGAAGAAGACCGACCGGGTAGATGCCCAGTGGATGGCCACATCGCTCAAAACGTCTACTTCATGCCTAAATGATGGCTAGACGACTGTTTTCATTTTTCTCTGGGACACACTCAAACAAAAGGATCCAACCTGCGGGTCGGCTTCTGGTGTCCGAGCCCATTCTGCAGCGCCAAACCCACACATCGAGACAAGATCATTACGGCACGTGTCATGCGTCTCCTGCTTGTTTGGATGATTCCCATCGAGGTAAATCCAAGTTCCCTCCTGGCGATCGAAGAGATGTGTGTGGGTCGAAGCCTGGTTCCCAACCCATCAACTTCTCTAGAACTTTACCGTGAACTACACAAGTTCCACACAGTTCCATCCTTTGGATGCATTTTTCATCAACTCCTCAACCCCTCTGATCAAGTACCTCAAAACCGCTCGGACCACGAACGTCTACCTGTCTACCCTTTTCGAACGCCCATCTCATCGCATTTCAGGGCTTCGAAAGCCTCAAACTTGCTGGGGCCATAGTCCCTCTGACTGTGTGTCACCACCCCCCGTGGCTTGATGTCCCAAATCCATAGGGCCATCATTGACATAGAACTGAAACAGAACCCATGTCCAAATGACCGCAGAATCGCAAGCTACTGAGTCTACTGGTGTGGGTTCCAGCAGGTGAGTGAGCGTCCAAAAATAGAACCCCCCAAGGTCATTCCACTTTAGTGTCCGGGACTCCCATGTAGTAGCTCGGAATCACCAAATCCCATCAACCCCTGTTCTCAAGGTGGCTCGGATGTTGGTTGGCAAGAGCTGTTGATTCCTTCAAGCAACCAATGACACTGAATGTTCAACAAAAGATTGTTGGTTGAAGATGTTGGTTGGTAAGATCTGCTTATATATCTCTGTTGGCTTAGCAAATCTCTTGAACATTCAGCTGACGACTGACGTTTTTCGGTGGAGCTGGAGGTTAAGGCCATTGAGGCCATTGGTGGACTCTTGGAGTACTTCTGGGAGCACTCGGAACTTACTTCGGAGTTTGGACCCACATGGGTTGTGAATCCTCACCCCCTCCCCAGAACCGCTCGGAACACAGCGACAAAGTGACCTCTTGCTCTTCGACTGGAACCTCACTGCACAGTGCTCCCGTCTAGTGGCAAGGTGTAAACAAAACATAGTGTAAGGGATGACTAGTTCATCATAGTGAGCCCAGAACCAGACCCTCGTCATCAATGTTGAACCTTTGGGCGACATATAAAGCTTGGATCCGGTGGGATAGTAGCCGTCTTGCATGTAACCATGTGCAACTCGAAGACTTCTTCAGGATTTTCAGCCATCCTCCAAGCCAGGGCAATTGTCCATACGTTGTACCATGAGTGAAGCTGAAGGTCAGGGACTGACTTGCATGGCACTATGATAACGGAAGAAACGTTCCGCACTTCTCGGCAGTATCTGGGCAATGCTTGTTAGGAACTTTGCCCCCTTCAAACCAACCTCGAATCTCAACCCAACCTGAGGGTTCTTTTATCTTCAGAAACTAGGACAGGCAGGACACATCAGTGGATCCACAACAAATCAACATCGATCCTCTATGCATTGACTAAGTTCGCTGAAGATCTGTGATTCGCTACCTCACCTACCCAAACTGCTGAGTGTATTTGATTGTGTTTATATGCTTGGAGTGCCAATCCAAAGTCAGAATGTCCGGTTGCAGATGTTTCAAACGAATCAGGTGGGGCATGCATTGTCGCGTGTTTCACACACACGGCAAAACCAGGCAAATGTTGGAAAGTGAGCACTTGTTTAATAAGGAACTAAGTGTTTCATCGTTTGGGCGGCCCCTTTCAAGCACCATGTTGAGCTCACCACGAGCGACATGGATAGCGATTGATCTGGACCTCACGCAGTGTTGCAATGATGGATGGATGTTCCTGACTCATTGACTTCTGATTCATTCTAACATGGGGGGCTTTAATCATCCCTTCCAGGCTTACACCGATTTTAATCCCAACATGCTCAAACGCAAAGGACGCATGTGCAGCGGCATTTATTTGGTACCAAACTCCTATCCACTATCTATTATCTGGGGGGGCCCTATCTCGTTTAGACTGCTTAAGTAGGAGGTCATGTCACAGTATCTCCTTCAGACTACTTGAGTAGCAAATCACAATCTCGTTCAGACTACTTTAGTGTCATCAAGCAAAAACATATCATTCATGTAAGGGCCCTATCTCGTTCACAAGCGAATACTGATGATAAACAAACAAATACAGCATACCGTAGACTACTTTACTAAAGCCTAAATAAAAGTGGTTGCCCAGGACGCCAAGTCAAAGAAGAAAACAACTTTGTGGAAGCGAATGGGCTGGTCTCATTGTCTGATGGTACCGGGTACCAACAACCAATGGATGTGTTGTCCGTGTTCCCTTCAACTTTTAAAGGGAACACTTGGGGGTCATCTGACTCAACTTGAAGCAGCCCTCCCCATGGGCTGACCTTCCAATTCAACACAACGCTTCAATGCGTTCCCTGCACACATGCCCGGCCTGGAGGTCCGAGCTGTCACCCAAGGAGTTTCGAACCCAAAACATGCACTGCAGCACGCAAGGAAGGGTCGTTAACATTATTCCGGCAAGAGACCCCGCACAGTGTGTTTAAGATCTAAAGGTGTAGCAGCAGAAAGTTTAGAGATCTAGACGCATTGGTGGTGGTGGGCGGCGATGGTGGTGTTGGTGGCGGGTGGAGGTTTGCAAGCTGGGAAAGGTCTACAAAGTACTACACCTGCCACGAAATCTGCACTTCAAGGTCCACAAAATTTGCATTTCAAGGTCCACAAAAATACGGCACCTGCCACGAAATCTGCACTTCAAGGTCCACAAACTACTGCACCTGCCACGATTCCTGACAACGAGCCACACGTCCAAAAGCCAGGATTCACGGCACCTGCCACGAATCAGAGCATGCCGAAGACCCCCACCATGTCCAAAGTACTGCCCCTGCCACAAAATCTGGACATCGACAAAAAACTGCTCCGATCTCCTGCACCTGACGAAGTCGACTTTAGAGCACACACGAGGTTTCCCTTACGAAAAAGTCCAAAAATGCCCACGGCATCACAACGAGAGCGCACCTCTGTCAAGCACCGTCCCGGGGCCAGTGTTTCGCGCGACCCTGCGCAGAGAAATTGCATTTGGAGATCTCAGAACAGAACTTTTCTGCAAGCCCGTGCAGCCAAAACGTACCTTGATCGAAACACCTGCCGTAAGAGCTCCTCAGTGTGGACACACTGTTTGGGGAATAATAGGCTTCACGATTCGCATCAGCGAGAGTCAACCCATGTTTGTTCCATGCTTTTGGATAGACATTGATATGCGGACAGCAGCGGAAAATGCCTTGTTTCCTTGCACTCGCATCTTTGGCGGAAGAGTCTTGCAAATTGTCATCAGACTTGATAGTTCACCAAGAGCTCTTTGGCATCCTTGGCACATTTCACGACACTTTGCGCTCGCTCCAATTCACTTGCAGCTGATTGAACTCTATCCTCCACCAAGCGACGTAATGCATCCTTGGCCCGTTCAAGCTTGGCGATCGCTGTATTTGTCATGTCATTCCCAACCCTTTTGATCTCCTTCTCAGCAACTTTTCGTAAAATTTTGCCCTGAATCTCCATAACGTCATGACCTTCAAAATGCCTTCGTAAAGCACTCAAGGCATCGACAACGAATCGCTCGCCAAATTTCGCAGTGCCCATCAGAATCGACACACCACCAAGAGTTGTCAAGAAAGGCCCTGCAGCGCCAGTTGTCAAGAAAGGCCCTGCAGCGCCAGTCGTCCCAGCGATGCCTAAAGCAGTTGCTGACGCAGCTGCAGCAGGGACGGCGCGTTCTGCTGGCCTGGTCTTCTGAATGGCATCTTCGGGAATTGGTGTACTGGAGCTTCTGCTCATGTCCTCATACTTTAAGAAGGGCAAGCCTTCCACATGTAAACGCGCACGCGCTTCCTGAATGACCTCATCCATTTGGAAAGATAGCTGATTCTCAGCAATGTTGCTGGCCCAGTTTGAAAAACTTGTCAGAAAGGGCATTGCGTCTGTCACCGTGTCAAACTTCAAGCTCTTCTTTTCACTTCTGCTGCTGCGGACCCAATTGCAGTTCTTGCAGGAGTTGGCGATGTGCTCATTGTCGGTCACATCTGCAAGTCGGGCCCAGAAGTCGCGGAGCTTTTTTCTGTCAAACCAATCACCTGGTCCTTCATCAAGAACATTGCAGAACAACTCGATACGCTCAATGGCAGCTTTCTCTGCTGCATGACAAGCTTGCTGGGTGCGTGCTACCCATTGGTTTTTATCAAGCCATTCTCGCATAGCCTCCCTGTTGTGAAGCGCTTCTTGATGCAGCACGTTGCAATCATTCACGTCTCCCTGTAGTCTGGCCAAGGGCTCTGCCAGGTCATCGAGCAGCAAATTGCGGATCTTGTTGACAAATAGATCTGGCCATGTCTTTACAACGTGGCCTTCCAGCTCATCTTTGAACACTGTGTTGTGCAAACAAGACCTGCGATGAGCCCGCTGAAGTTTATTCCAAACTTCTTTACGTTCAGGTTCGTACTCCACTGGAACGCTGACATCAACCGATGGTGACACTGCACCAACACAAAGCTCAATCTCTTCGCTGCCCTGTTTAAACTCCTCAGAGGAATGCTCAGGCAGCACTTGCCAGTCCCTTGCATCGCAGATTTGATAAGCCAGTGCAATTTTACAATCAAGGAAGAACATCCTCTTCAATGCAGTTCCCAGGCATGTGAAATTTGTTTTGAGCCACTTTTCAGTGTCGTCTCGCGTGTTCTGTTTATCTACATGGGTGGCAACCAGGAAGACATCCTTGCTCAACGTTGCTTGTGGAAACACAAGGGCAAAACAAACCCCGTTGGCTCACTACGGCTCAACATTATTTACACATAGTTACACCATATTATACCCAAATTTGCAACAGGGCAACCAAAAAAAAAAGCCGTCCTTGCCGGGAATGGAGCCGCCAAAGAAGGCGCAAGTCTGGACATGATGTGAGAGAGGGGCTAGGCCATCAGACTTCACAACCTCAGCGAAATTGCAGTTGTGAGACGCAATCGCCGCCCGCTCCTAAACCACCTGCGCCCAGTTTGCTATTTTGCAATTATCAAGAACCATAAGCATGAGGGTACATTGAGCCTGGCAACCCGCCGGTCGGTTTGGCGAACATCGAAAACAACTGAACATCCCTCCCATTCCAATTTCAAGTATCCACTGGCACCCGGGAAGACCTGAAATGGACCCACAAGGAAGACTAGCTTCCTCCACTTACGCCAGTTTTCAGGTGCCATGTGTGTTTTTTTGGAGGGTGTGCTCCAATCAATCGTGTCACAACTTCAACAAAGTCAACTGCACTTGGTCTGAGTTGCTAGAACGCTGAGGCATGCTTCTTGTGCCTGATGCTGCAGCAAGCTATTCACCGCTTTCCCAATCTCTTCCCCCTCTGAACCCCCGGGGCAATCCACAATGGAAAAGCATTTTGCCGGTCCCGGTACCAGCACTTCCATATGCCAGGACTTGAAGCCAGGTTCTGTTTTAAGACGAAGCTGGCCATCCAAAATCAATTGTCTCAAAAATGAGGAGCATTCCGCAATCATCCCGAGTGCTTCGTGCGCTGTGAGGTTTTCCTTTTGGCCTTGCAATGCCAGGCGTTCAGTGAGTCCAGTTCCCCGTGGAATCACTTGAAATCCGTTTGCGTGGGCTCCATTGGCAGTGAAAACAATGGGAAGCAGGGACGTTGGGGCGGCTCCCATGGGACAAACAATCTGTCCGAAGTATGAGTTGACGAGCGTGCTCTTTCCTGCAGAGGTTGGGCCAACAAAGGCAACCGTAACAGAAATGTGATTCAACAACTCAGCGTTGGCCTGGATCCACTGCTCTACATCACTTCGAAGAGCAGTCTGTTCAAAGCGGCTCCGAGCAGCTTCTAGCCATACACGACTACGTGCCTCGGTGACCAAAGTGGCCAAAGCTCTATGCTTGGGCAATAGATCTTGCAGGCCCCTCAAAGAGTGAATGACATCATTCATCAAGGTCTGTTCTTTGAGCTTGTCTTGCAAGCGAAGCAAGTGCATTAGAACTGCACGCACTTGCTCGATACTTGCGTTGATCCCATCTTCTTTCAATGATTCACGGTTGATTGTAGCTTGGAAATTGTCAACAATGGTTTTCAGGAAGACTGCAGCAGACTCAGGGCATGACATGTGCTCGATTGCCGGGAGCCGAGGACACACAGGGGCAGGCTTCGTGTGTGTCATTTGATGGAGCACCATCAATGATGCAGAATTGGAAGAAGAATGCAACCAAGGACGCTGCTTACCTCTTCTACGTTCGGTGCACCGTGCTCTGATTAAATCAAACAGCTCCGGCAATGTCTTTCCGGGTGTTTGAATACAATGTAGAAATGCTTCAGTCAAGAAACCATGCTCTGTTTCCAAATCCTCTGCTGCTTCTGCACCCTCATCACAAGCAAGCAACATATCAAACAGCATGCACAGCTGTGAGTCGGCCGGATACAGTTTGCCGCCTGCCGAAAGCTTTTGCACAAATTCATCCTGATTCAACTCATTTGGGTCCGCTACCTGCTCTCGGGTCCTGCACCCATCAAGGATCAAGCATCCAAGAGCTCCAGGGGCAGGGTAAGCACTCATCTCTTTAGCTGCAAGGCGAGAACAGTGCAAACTTCGTTCGGAAATCAAGTCGTGCAAGGGTTGTAGAAACTTATAGATGTTGAGGTATGTGCGAACTTCGCCACCTTTGGCGTCAACTGGAATAAAATACCCCTGCCCAGCAATAGTGACAGCATGACCAGCATAGTAGACCAGCACAAACTCACGATCTGCACTTTGGATGCATTGAGCTAATTGTGTTCGAAGAGTGTCGAAGTCCGACTTCTTTGCATCATAATACTTGATGACATGTTGGAAGCCGCAAGTAGTTTTCAAGGTGGTCTCCACAACATTCACGTCATTGTAGCAATACTTGATCTTTCCGAACGACTCCTCATCCTCATATGTCTGGTTGCCAATCAGCAACGCGATCCTGAAGTCCCTCCCTGATGCCAATGCCATCTAAATGAAATAGACTCGCACTGATCAAACATTCAAACATCATGAACACAACTGATTTGGAGTGAGCTTCTTCACACATGTTCACACCTGTACCTGCGAGATTGGTGTCATGCGACCTTCAAGTGCACACTTCATTTAAGGATGGTGCTGTTGTGCTGTTGAACGTTGGGCCAGGCATTCATGCAACAAAGCTCCAAGCATTGAAGGATATTGAACAGAAAGTGTCTTTGTGGGTTCAGTATATAGACATAGTCTTAGTTCAAAAACACCACAGTGCCAAGCACCTACTGTCAGGACCAATCTTCACAGCTTTCCGGGAGCTCTGGTTTTTGAGATCACATGCACATCTGAAAACGACAAAAGGAGCAAGCCACCTGCCCACATGACATGATCTATCCATGGCATACGGAGCACTCGGACCACTTTTTCGCACAAAACCGCGCACCGCTCACGTTGACATCAAACCATCGTCTCACCGCAGAAAAGAAAAAACTCCACCACCGGCGCTCCTGGCGACCGCCACAAGCCTCTGAGAAAAGGATGATAAATGGATCGATATAAATAAATAGACGCCTCCACCTTGATTGATCCCAATAAATCATAGTTTTCACGTATTTCACTTTCACAGGTTCACACGCAAGGGACAATTCCAGCGAAAAGCACCTCAAACAGATCTCAATGAGGTCTGCTCAGGACCCATCCCTATGATGCAAATTTGTGCAGGTGTTGTCTAAATCAAGTTCAAACAGCAAATCACACACACATCAATGAAGTAGCTGACATGTCGTCTCATCTCCCTCTCTCAAAACTGTCTCCGTCTCCGTCCTCTCTGTCCTCATCCTGTTTTCACTGGAAGGGGTTGAAGACGGTGCCAGCAACCACCAAGACCAAAAGGAAGACGAGATACTCCACTTTGTAGTCCCCCACAGACTCTCCAACCATTCGTTCCGACTCCTATAAGGGGCGACCACGTGGTGGGACGGTTCCGTCCATGCGGAGTCGGATGTGGGGCTGAGGGCCCACTCGAGGTATCAAGGGTTCGATCATCAATGGGATGCGAACGAAAGACAGTCTTTCACAGCAGGTGTTTCCAAAACGATCCAAGAACCGTTTGGAACATGCTTTCTCCGAAAGCTGGTCCTGGAAGAGGGTTTCGGTGCGGAGGGCATCCAGGTGGTACAGGATTTCTTCCAAGACAGAAACACTCAGCTGCTTCAAACATATTCAAAAAACGATATTTCCTCTCTCAGCTCCTTCTCCTCCTCGCGCGTCTTCTTCTTTGCCGCTGAAGGCTCCGCCCGCCGCGGAAGCCGCGCTGTGGCGGCACGCCGCGTCTGCGCGAGCCGCGTCTGCGCGAGCGGTGTCTGCGGTGTCTGCGGTGTTAGCCAGGTGGCTGGAAGAAACCAAAAGAGCAATAGGAGGCCCAGCAAAGATCTTGCCATGGTGCTGGAATCCAAGCTAATGAGTGATGAATTTGGGTTTAGTTCTTCAAGTTAGTTAATTCTTGATGAGCATGGTATGAATATGTATGAATCCATATGAACACTATTGAACTGGTTCGTCTGAGCAGCTTTGTGTGAGGATCCATGAATCCAATGCTGCAGCAATGTTCAATCCTTCCCTTGTTTTGTTGGGTCCTGCATTTTGTTGAACCTCTAGCTGCAGCAGTGGCGCCTAGAGCACGGCTGCGTTGCTTCGGTGGTGCAGTGCATCAAAGGGGTGCCACAACACAGCCTGCAACAAATCCCCACAGACCTAAGCTCCTGTTGACAGAACAACCCCGACACAACCACCAGGGAGATGAAGCAACCACTGCTTGCATCACCAAGGATATTCCATGGGTTGCCTGATCTGTTTACCAACCTCATGATGTCCCACGCTTCTTCCTTTGAGGGGAAGGCCATATCGATGATCTTTGTATGAGGTTCGTGAAACACATCGGAACATACCAGGACTGCCCCAAAGGGTGTCCAATGGAACTGGTCCACAAGAATTAGAAGTTATGTCAAGAAAAATAACGTTATAAGGGCCACTGATCCCTTAAGGGCCACTGATCCCTCATGCTACAGCTCCAAGGTGTCTTCCAGAGGTGCATCATGGTGAGGAATGCGCGGAACTCGCACCAGTCAACGATTCTTCACATGCGCGACCCGACGATCCTTCCAGCCGCTGTGGGCCCCAGCCATTGCGGAACCACCTGAAATGCTCCAACCACCGGTGCTTCCCACGATGAACAACATGCAACCGCGATCCGGCCAGGAGCCAGTTTTTCGTGGCAGCCTGCAAAACAAGGCTGCCTAGCCCTTCTTCAGAAGCGTCCAACTCCCTTAGACCTGAGATGAAGACAACTTGAAGCGAGGTTGCCCCTTGATTGGGTCCATTCGGATCAAACCCACTTCTAATATCTTCTGATTATCTTTTTTAACATCCAACCATTCGCAAAAGCAATTGAACATCCATGAATGAGTCTAATTATCCTCTCAAGCTTCAAGCAACCCTCCTTTCATACTTCCGAAACTATCACAACTATCCCACAGCCCGGCCAGTGACCCTTTTCATGTGTTCTTTCCCGAAGCGCTGCTGCACTGCGTCGCTGCGTCGTCGAGCGCCGCGAAAATCGCCTCGAGCTGAGTCGAAAAGGTCCGAGAGGATTCACAATGTTCGCTACTAGGGGCTCCTGGCATCGCTACTAGGTGCAAGGACGCTACTAGGGCTCCTGGCCGTACTACTAGGAGCAAGTAGCTAGTAACAATGAAGTCAAATCGTCTTTTGATCTTTGATGGTGTCAACAGTTGCTATAGCCTTCTCCTTCTATCGAATCTCCTTCTCCTTGTGATGATATTAGATGACATGAATGTACCATCTTTGGGTCACACATGCCAAAAGCAAAATAATGCAAAATAGCAGAGGAACTTCGCTGATCAGTGAACTTGAGAGGCCCTGAATCTTATTCCTCCCTTCAACTATCATGAGTTGGTGCTAAACCTGGTGTGAATGGAGTTCGGCTTCTTCAGATTATGGAGTCGATCTTTGATCTCATTTTCCAGTGAAGACCCCCTTGAGACCTGCGTATTCCCGAAGACCTCCATCCGGTGAACCCGTGCGGTGAGGCGCGCACGGGAACCGAATGATCATGCTCTTCAACAAGGTTCAACACCGAACCTGGACCTGGAAACCCAGTCCCAAACCAGAATGATAACAACATGGGTGATCACAATATAGCTGGAGATCCTGTACACAACAAGTGGTTGGGACTGTGGACACATTCACTGGTTTCTGCTTGGGACTGGGGGGTTCAGATCAACCCATGCAGCTTCCGCTGGCTTCCTCCTGGCCCCCGCCGGTCTCCCAGGCCTCACGGGCGCTGGGCGCTGGGCCGACTTAGGTCGGAGTCTTTTGCGTATCGTCGACCACTTGGCTGAACATCATCGGGGCCCTGCGATGCCAGGCGTGCCAAAATAAAAAGGGGACAAAAACGCGAGGTGGGGGTTTTGCTGGGTGTAAGTTTTTTCAATCAAACGCAGGCAAATCAAGTTCCAGGTAAGCTATTAACATCAAACCAGTACGCTCTTCAGTTCAAGATTCGAGATTTCTGCCAAATACACCTACTGCCTAGTCTTAGCCTTCTCAGCCAATTGAAGCAGGGACCCATAAGCCTGAAAACAAAATGGTACGCAAAAGGCCACTTGAACAAACATGGTTGTGGTCGGATTCAAGGTGACGGCCACCAACTTCGTTGGTCTTCTTCTTTGTTCGGCCAGTGCAGCAAACACATACATCAGGATAGAATCTGAAACACCTGCAAAGAAGAACACACCACCCACCACCAACACCCATGTAAGCGTATGCCAAAACATACTGTCAAACAAAGGACATGATTCAACAAGGTTGTCGTCTTTGCAGGGGGGGCCTATCGTTTTTGCAGGTTTCAACCACAATTGTTAATGTCAACATAGTCGAACATATCCAAAATTGCGGAGATTGGATTATCGCTTTTGAGGGGGGGCCTATCTTTTTTGCGGGTTTTCTCCCAGTTCCTGAGATTCACGACCGATCTTTACTAAATTAGTCATTGCACGTTTTGGCGGTTGCTCATGTAGCGAAGGACTGCCCGCTTTCAATTGTTGCAAGTCCATCCGTTCCAGTCTGATGATCATGTGAAGGCTTCTAGCGAATGACTGTATAATGGCGGTGTATTTTAGACCCCGGTACCGAACCGAAATCTTGCCCCGGTGGCTGGGTAGACTGCATGGTCTATAGTGGTTTCAGGGTAGATGGGGAAATCCCCAAAATTTGGTTTATAGATGTTTATAGAGACCCTCATCCAAGACACATTTAAGGGTATGTGCATGTTGGTGCCGAACGATCGTTGCCCGCGGTCGTGCACCGGTGAGGATCAGCAAACAACCATCCCCAACAAAAACCACCATGGGCTTGGGGTTTTGGGAAGTTTTGGGTCCTGATTCAAAAAGTTCAGTTGATATTGAATATGAATGAATAACTAAGTAACAATATACAGATTACTTGACTTCGAGTGATCCCACCCTGAAGGGTGATTGGTGCGGATTGACGTGATGTTCTGACGTTTGTTCTGGCATCAAATCAGGCTTGTGCTCTGACACATCATCTATAATGAAGGCTGGGAAACGGTCCAGTACGATTTCTGACATCTTTGTTGGCGTTTTCTGACATCTTTCCTGTCTGACGGTGACAGATCGACCAACTTCAGCCCTGGTAGTGTTCTGCCATGTATTCCGACATTGTTCTGCCATCAAGGATATCCTTGCACTCTAAAAAAGCTGGCATTCTATCTACCATAACTGCTTGCATTTGATCTGGCATCATTGCTGGCACTCCATGTGGCATATACTCTGGCATTCCACTAGTTGGCAAATACTTTGACTGGCGCTCTATCTGGTGTGCGTTCTGACATTCTATCTTGCACTTTTCCTGACATTCTATCTGGCATATATATACAAGTATATATACACATACATGTATGATATATTCTGACATGTGCACACTGCGACCTGGCGATTGTTGTTGAGGCCCGGCAGTGCCCACTGCGATCTGGCGCTTGCTGTTGAGGTCCGGCAGTGCCCGGCACTGCCCACTGCGATCTGGCACGTGCTGTTGAGGTCCGGCAGTGCCCACTGCGCTTTGGCGGTTGCTGGTGAGGTACGGCAGTGCCCAATGCACTCTGGCGCTTGCAGTTGAGGTCCGGTAGTGCCCACTGCGATCATGCACGCGCAGTTGAGGTACAGTCCATTGCGATCTGGAGCTGGCACTTGAGGTGCGATAGTGAAGACGCGGAGAGGATGAGAGAAGAGGAGAAGAGGAGAGAAGGAGGAAGTAGGAGAAGAGCTCTGATAAAATCTAACAGCCCTCACCTGGCAGGTGTGGAATAAACATATACCACACTATTTGAGAGGCGCATCAAACACCAGGGCAATCCATTGGACCGACCAGCCCACAGTTCTCTTGCCGACGAAACGACGCGAGTCGTTCTGGCCAAGGCACGCCATTCGTTCTCCAGGCCTCCCGCGCTGGCTGTGGAGGTTTTCATGGCAAGTGACCAGTGAGAGTCCTTCCCTAGGGATCCAGTCGTGCCAAACCTCAGGTTCGTTACGACTGGACCCTCCTGGCACCGATATAACAGGTATCAAGCACATCACCTTTTTTTCGAAGGTACGACTGGATCCCTATAGGGCTTCAGAGTGAGTTTTCATGGGGTTTTCCTCGTCAGAGTCCTTCAGAGTCTGCAATTTCAAACAGGCCGGTCAGAGTCTTAAAGTCTTAGGGAACCATGGATTCAACGATTCTTTGGATCACACAAATCACCATCTGTGGGCGTAGGTCGTTTCTAGTGTTCCACGGTGAACCTCTTGTTCAATTCCAAAAAAACCTTTGGTTTGGGCTGCAAGGAACCATTGCAACATGTTTCAGAGCGCTCTGAGATGTGCACATCTTCTTCTCCAATTCAACGTAGGCAGTCCTGCAGCGGCGGTTCTGGCGGGAGCGGGAGCGGCCGTGACCTCGACCCCAGTCACTTCCGAAGTCAAAGCTCGGAAAGCTCAAACCTTTTGTTCCCCACTTTTCCGATTTCTCTCAGTTGGAACATGTGCTTGCAACAAAGAGATGTTCGGGTGGGGTCTCTAGACTCTAGACTGTGGCTCCTGAATGATAGGCCTCTGTGAAGGGAACCAGTCCAGTTTGGAATGGCTTTGGCAACTAAAAGCACTCAGGTGTTGTGAGGGCCTGCTCAGGGCGAGTTCTCCGCTGAACATAAACGATGCACCTACTTGACTGTATCAGCGCTGCATGACCCTTGCTACAACAATGATTATTGATGTTTTCTACTTCCATGTTTGTTGACAAGACATGAGACAAGGGAACTGGTCGGCTTCCTCACATGTACTGAAGAGTCTTCTCTGAAGCGACTTTCGCCATTGGCACACCTTCGCATCATCTTAGGAGGTGTGCACTTCTCTACTAAGTGGGTCAATCCTCAACAATGGTGATCGCTTGAAGCACTTCTCGTTTGGTCAAAACCACCAATCAAAACGAAAGCAATGGTATTTGTTGGTGGTTTTGATTGGTGTTATTATTTTGTTCAATCAACATACAATGTGTTTATGGAACATACATGAACCAAAACAGACTTGTTTCTCAACACAAGCCTGCGATTTTGGGGGGCTTCCAACACACACCAGCTGCGACCATGCGTTTTTAGGACGAGGTCTCCAATAGACCAGGCCCCTACACCACTGGACGGGGGGAATCCTTCTTGGACACGCGTGGGAAGGTCCGTGGCAAAGGCAAGGATAGTCGTCCCCCAACACAAACAGATGGACGTTTCGCCTCAGTGATGCACGTCGTTGGGCATCACCGGTGGTCCACTGCACGATGTCGATGTAGTCGTACCTGCGGCTGCGAGCTGCGAGCTGCGAGCTGAGCATGAAGTGAAGGCTTAGCTTGCATCTGGCATCGGGTCAAGACCTGGAGCTGTAATCGATTCTGTTCATTTCTGTGGGACAAAACATGGAAACAAATAGGGTCCCGCTCACACCTGCCTTGGGAGATGCCAAGCACTTGTCATCGCTTTTCAGACGTTGGTGCATTGCAGGTGGTGCAAGAGAGAAACCGAAACCTTCATGGAGATAGAAATGGGAGACATCTTTGGCTAACAGTTTGTCCTACATATCCAAGCCGGGGGAAAAAATCATGACCTCTTTCTTAGCCGATCTTTGACAACAATATTGGTGTTCGTTGGAAGACCCATAGTATGTAAAGAAAGCACAAAAAGGGGATCAGTTCAGCCTCCGATATACCGTACCATCACATCATTGTCAAAGCGGAGAAACCCTGCAGTCAGTGGTCGACCAGGCGAAAGCTGTGAATTCAACAAGCAGCCATTGGCTACATGATGCTACATGCTTACATGTGCTAGATTCGCTATAGATGCTTGAGTTTCCTCCGATGTCTTCGGTTCCTTTTGGCACGGTGGAAAGCAAATGTGAACGACCTCAATGTTCACTTCAGAACGACCTCTTCATACACTTGCTGTCTCCACTTGGATCGCACTTCACCGGCCCAAATCGAAACAAGCAACACACGCCCGATTCGCTCGTGGGTCGCACGTCCGATTTTCATAGCCTTCTGCACCTGCAGGCAAACCGCAGGCAAAGCTGGTGCCTGCAAGCTGTATCATCACTAAAGTTCATGAACCTCTGCAAAGTTGATGGGACATGCTCGAATGTATTTCTTAATCTTCATTGTTTACACCAGGGGCAACATGTTCTGGATCAGGCACGATTGGACTTTCATCTCGCAAGTTGTACGCCGGGAAGCAAGCGATATAAGCTGCCATTCAGCTTTTGTCATCCTCGTCTGCAATGTTTAACTTTGACGGGGTGGCAGGGGGACTAGACGCGACTATATATTGACCAGCCAAACAATACCACCTACACTTGTTTGTTGTATTCCAGAAATCTCAAGCTGTCTAACTTCTTGCTACCAGTTAGTACCGGGTTATGTTCCATGAGTTGTAGTTGTTCTTCCGGTCAAGTCACCTGCCCCAACCAGGCCAACCTCTCCCAAACATTTGATACCTGTTCATTGCTCTGTGCTCTATGCTCTGACCTGCATGGAAGACATCAACTACTTCAGTTACTTGGGGAAGGGATGGGATTGCATGAAACCTAGAAGCGTAACGAGGGCATTACTATACTAGTAACAAGTGCATCGCTACGTTCGTAGTTTCTTGTTCCGTTCGTAGCGATGCCCTGTGTTCCTAGTAGCTTCTTGTTCCTAGTAGTAATGCCAGGAGCTATGCTTCAAGCACTCTACGTCCCGTATACAAGTCATCAAAACCACATGCGCCGGCTTTCGGAAAAGACCTCGATGGCAGTGAGCCTAGTGGCATTTGATTTGTACAGACTGTGTGCACTCTGAGTGCCCCCCACGTGGATCTGCCTTCATGAACCTGCGGTTCGCTGTCAAGGCGGTTCTGAACACACAAAATCTGGGTGCTGTTTGGGCACGGGAAATCTCTCAGACCATCTACTTGACAAAAGTTCTTACGCCAATTGGGCCACAAAATCATGTTCAGTTCATGCCAGGTCAGGCTTCACAGGGCCCAGTTGGATACAAAGATTAAGCTCAAATCGAGGGGATTCCGGAGAAAGCGGAACCTCTTCTGTCTACCCAAGTCATGCTTAACCTGACTCCCTCAGTTTCCCTTCAAATACAGTGATTTCAAAGTAGATGGCACTAGCACCCCAACCCTACTAGCAATGGCCTCCACCTTGTTAGCGATGGCCTCCACAATAGCAATGGCCTGCACCCTACTAGCAATGGCCTCCACCCTGCTACCGATGGCCTCCACCCTACTAGCAATGGCCTCCACCCTAATAGCAATGGCCTCCGCCCTGCTAGCGATGGCCTCCACCCTAATAGCAATGGCCTGCAACCTACTAGCGATGGCCTGCACCCTACTAGCGATGGTCTCCACCCTACTAGCGATGGCCTCCACCCTCCTAGCGATGGCCTCTACCCTACCAGCGATGGCCTCAACCTTGCTGGCGATGGCCTCCACCCGCATCCACCCTAATAGCGATGGCCTCCACCCTACTAGCGATGGCCTCCAACCTAATAGCTATTCAATAATCATCGAATGCAAATGCTTGGGCCAAAGGTCCATGTTTTCAAGTTCTGTTGATGTTCTGTGTGGAATGAAAACAGCAAGGCCTTTTTAGTGCTTTTTAGGTGATCCACGTTTTCACCCTGGGTATCGGGGTCTGTTGCTTCTGAAAGTGCCCACTTGTGAAGCAAGAAGGCGATTGTTGTCAAGTAAACTGCAATGATGTGTGACTGAGAGTAAGAATGCATCATTACAGGGAGAATCCAGTTTTGAATCCCCTCTGGTTGGATTCTGTGACCCTTTCCCACTTTTTTTTCCAAGTTGGCCTGGTGAACAAATACCCTTCTTGTCGCTGGTTAAACTTTGCCACTTCCTGTCGCGCGGGCCGAGTTGCTCCCGCCAAGAGTCCATCGTCCACGAGGTACTTCACTCACATGGAAAAATAAACAAGTCGCTCGTATGTGTGGAGACTGATTCCTCTAATGATTCGCTTTACCTGATAAAACGGTTCAACTCCAGCTAGGGATCCGAGGGACACAACTTGGAAGGAACCGGCTAGGAACCAGCGAACCAGCATCTTGGGAAAGCTTTGTTTGAAAAAGACGATCGGACAAATTAGACATGGAAACCATCCGATCGGTCCAGTCCTTCCAGCTTTGCTCGAACTCATGTTTCTCCTCTTCCTTGACTTTGTACCTGAGTGAATGGCACATGTGAAATTCAATGGCACTCTAAGAACAATATCTCAAGACTAAATATACCCAATTTCAACAACACAACAGAACCCAACCAATTGTTTTTTTGGAGCCAATGCCCACACAGCGATGGTTCTTGAAGATTCCCTGAGCGCCCTGCAGGTTCAGGAAAGCATAGGGAGGTGGCCTGGGAAAAAAAATTGACAAAGCCGGGACTGTCGGCCGGAGTGAGAATAGTTGGCTGAAGTCGCATGGTATCTAGTGACCACCCTGATTAGATGATAGAAGAAACCCATGTTTGACACTTGAAAGGTGTGAAGATCTCTTTCTGGCGACCCAAGCCAGGATTGGTGGGCCAACTGGGATTAGGTAGATGATGGTACAGGTAATGAGGGTCCCACTTATGAACATGCACAACCTTACAATCGATTTGTTTGGACGTAGGATCAATGAAGCCTAAGTCCAAGGTCTGTGCATACATAAATATAAATATAAATATATATAATATACACATACACGTATAGTAATACGAGTAGTCTGCTAAGGATATGGATATTCAATACAGAAACTTCAAACATACAATTCTATGGAAAAGGATCAAATTCACCGTTGTGTCTGGGCCATGTTCATGAAGTTGTTGATAAGGACACATGCCAAACAACAAGGTTGACCATGAGACACTTGCACCCTGGAACAAATTACAGCATTCAAGTCTAGGACTGCGCATTTTTTTTGGCCAACAAGGCAACTCAACCTTTTACAAAAAACATTCAACATCTCCCTTGCTGCATTCCAGCAACTAGATAACAAACTCGCGTGCTGCTCAGCTCCCGCTGGGAACATGGCTTCTGAAGCGGGAAGAGATCATAGACCTGGGTGAATACGAAAGGTTCAATGTTGCATGGTTGCCTTGGAAGGACGTGGTCATGAGACACTTTTCACCATGAAGGTGATGGTGCAACTTGGCTAGGTCAAATAAAACCTGTCGATACTATGAATATGTACGTTTATCTCAACTATCTTTCCTACTAAGAATGCATATTATGCTTATGGCCATACATACATCTATTCGTTCCAATCCTTTCCATTATGCATACATACATACACAATCATACACACATACATATGCACACATACATACAAACATTACATTACATTACACTACATTACATTAGTACATGCAGTACATACATACAATATTTACATTAATAAAATACATACATTAAAATCTTACATACATTACACACCATTCCATCGCATCACATTACGTTACATACATACATTGCATACGTTAATACATACACTACATACATTACATTGCAAAACAGTACGCTAGCTACATGCAAATATATATATATATATACATACATACATACATGCATACATACATAAATACATACATACACACACATACATACATACATACATACATGCACATACATACGTACATACAGACATACATACATACATCACATACATCACATTCATACATACATACGTACGTACGTACATACATACAAACAAAACATACATACATACATGCATACATACATAAATTACATACATACATACAAACTTACATACACTACATACATACATACATACATACATACATACATACATACATACATACA